CTGGTTCTCCCCCACCTTCGTCATAGCGCTGGTGGCCCGGCGGCTCCGGCGGTGGCGCGAGTCGCAGCTGTTGGACTCCTCGAGTGGGACTTTCAGCGGAGTTCCCGTCTCGCACTTCGTGGGCATCGATGGGGTCAGAGCGTTTCTCCACTCCTACTCCCAGGAGGCGTCGCTCACCGCGGGCTCTAGAAAAAAGCAGCCCTCGTTTCCTAATGTCAGTTGTTCAAATACTCTCACGGGTCAGAATTCGTCTGAGAAGCTTGGGCCTCTTCTAGTGGGAGACCTTTCAAATATCGATACTGTCGATCAAGTCTCCCTTCAGGTGAGTTTCTTAAGCCCCAAGTTTCATTTTGCTGCAGAAAGGCTTATCTCTTTGCATGATTTGCATGTTATGATTCCTCTTTGAGCAACAGTTCATAGGAGCATCCTGGAAGTTAACAATGTTTTACTTAATACAGTCTGCAATTATCAATAGTATTTCCTGATTACTGACTTGTAATTTAAAGGCTACTTTTTTTTCTCTCACACTTTTCAAAACTTGAATGAGCGCGTCCATTGAATGGGTGAAAACGAATATACTAGTATATGTATATTTATTTGGCTGCTAATTTACAGTATTTTACTTATAGTGGTGTCTCGTGCATCTATCCGTTTGAGAAGTTTTTATTTTCCTATCCCTGCGAATTGTTAAAGCGGAACATATCACAATGTTTCCCAACTCACAGAATAATCTGAAGAAGTTTAAACTTCTTATTACAATGAAATCCTGATTATGCACAAGGGATATTCAGTTGCCTTAAGTTATCTGTAACGGTCTTTCAAAGGAAATGCCGTCAGGAAACACGTAGTGGTTTGTCATTCGCTAAACATTCCCTGTCTTCTGCACCATGAGCCTGCAAATCCGGAGACTTTGCGAAAGCTTCCTTGTTGCTTGGAGCAATGAGGGCGGAGCATAAGGAGACAGGCTCAGGAAAGCGCAGGAGAGGAATCAAGTGTGGAGACTGAAGCACAATAAAATCAACTGATTTTGTAAATTAAAGTTAATACAGTTTGTGGGTGTGGGATGCTCCTTAAGAGAAAAAGTGTGGAGAGGAGAGACATCTGAATGATACATTAGCTGAAATCTCCATTTGCCTTGAGGTTTCTCTAACCACCGTCCGCAGAAAGAGCCACTCTTGCTTTCCCAGATTATTAAACGGTTCAAATACACTGACCCGTCAGCAGCCGTGTGATATTAACGCTCCTGTATCAATATGGGCGGGTTTAAAGAGAGGCGAAGGCGGGCAGGAATTTGTTCAGGAGAGTTTTCTTCTTTTCTTTGTAACAATTTGATGCATTCTAGGAGCAGGAAATATTAACGATTCAATTAATAATGTATAAATTAATCCCATCGTGTCATTTGGAACCACAGCGCCGCAACGTTAACCTTGTGCTAAAAGCCACCTACTATTAGAGTGGTTCCTTTGCTTATGGCCGTTGGCCACGGTTACCTCTTCTATAGTTTTCCCCTGTGCTTAATGACTCAGGTTCATGTAACATAACAGCTCTTCCAGGCAAGTATGAGGTGTACCTGCCTTTTATACACAGATGCTGATCTTCATCCGCGCTTTCCGGCGCTACTGCAATTCAAATACAAATAAATACAAGGGAAACATAATATGTATTTTTAAAGGGGGTGCAGTTGTTTGTTGGAAGGAAGGCTCCGTTTACAGGAGTTTTAACCAACTCCGAGTAACCTTTTTCACAGAGGCTTCATTCTCCTCTGTTGCGCATGTATTGTGCTTACTTATTTAGTGTCGTGTTCTTGACCTTGACAATCGTGCGCTCGCTTTGAAAGGAAGTAACGTTTTCAGGCCAAGTTTGCTCTTATTTGCGTCATTTAAATACCAAGGAAACTCACCGGACCGCAATCTGGCCTTTTCCACAGAAAGAGATCAGAAAGGATTTTATTTTTTGAGGTAGTTCTCAAGAGAAATTACTTTGTTGTGCCAGCGCCTGATTCTGGGCAGGGAAATTTTGCAAAAATAAAAAATGCAGACTGCTTTTTTTAAAGCCACTTTTGCGAGAGAACATGAGAACTGCGACCAGAAAACCGACAACCTGGAGACCCATAACAGTCAGCTGGCCTAAATTCTTCGTTCGTTCTACCTCAGGGTGGACCAATGAATGCAAAGGTTCCGACGCATTTCCATCACCCGCTCTGTACCTGCCTCCAGGCTTTGATATTATCGTTCGAGCTGAAGTTCTCCAGCAGAGACTCACGGTGTCGCTGTTGGCCAACGCCGTGAGGCGCTAAAGTCGGAAATCCTTTGGAGCGGGCTGCTGTGGGATTGCTCCGTCACACGGTGCAGCACAGAGACAAAAGCGCATATAGCCTCGCTCCATCGGGACTCGGGTGTACAATTGGAGTGAAACATGGATTTCATTTTATTTTTATCGCTGGTGAGATGTACAGTACAGGCGGGATTTTAACCACAGAATCTGAACGGAGTAAAAGAGAAAGGAAAAGAGCCAGATGGAATCCAGACAAGCACAGAACGGCTGGACACTAACTCGGCAAGTACTGCTGTTTCCTTTCTTATTCCCTTTGTTCTGCCGCGCGGCCCCGGCTCAGACTCGCTACTCGATCCCCGAGGAAATGGCCAAAGGTTCCCTCGTGGGGAACCTCGCCCAGGATCTGGGGCTGGAGCTGAGGGAGCTGCCGCTGCGGAGGCTCCGTGTCAGTTCGGAAAAGCAGCACTTCAGTGTGAATGGGGAAAATGGCGACTTATATGTGAATGGCCGTATAGACCGGGAGGAGATCTGCGGGGAGACTTCGCTTTGTGTGCTGAAGCTGGAAACGGTGGTGGAAAACCCTCTGAACGTTTACATCGTTAATGTAGCGATCCAGGACATTAATGATAACGCCCCGCGGTTCGTGAAGAGTGAAATTGATCTAGAAATCAGTGAATCAGCAGTTGCGGGTGCGCGATTTAGACTGGAATCTGCCCAAGATCCGGATTTGGGGAGCAATTCACTGCAGAATTATCAACTCAGTAAAAACCCGTCTTTTACTCTGTCAGTGAAGGAGAGCCCGGATGGAAAAAAACAAGCAGAATTAGTCTTGGAAAAGTCTTTGGATCGAGAGGAGGAAAGTTCATACGAGTTGATCCTGACAGCGCTGGATGGGGGAGATCCAGTCAGATCTGGGACAGCGCAGATTAGAATTAAAATTTCTGACGCCAATGACAATCCCCCAGTATTCACTGAACAGATCTACAAAGTCAGCCTGAGGGAAAATCTGCCAAAGGGTTCTCTAGTGCTTCAGGTGAAAGCCAGTGACAAAGACGAAGGTGTAAACGGTCTTATAACGTACTCTTTCAACAGCGTTCTGGAAAACAACCTCAAATTATTCCATTTGGACACTGAAAACGGAAAAATAATAAATACAGCAATTCCGGATTTTGAAGAGAAAAGCAAATACACATTGGAATTGGAAGCTAAGGATGGGGGCGGGCTAACGGGTCACTGCAAAGTCCTTATAGAAATTTTAGATGAGAACGACAATCCTCCGGAAGTGACAATTTTATCACTATCCAGTCTTATTCCGGAAGACTCACCGCCAGGAACAGTGATAGCTCTGATCAAAGCACAAGACCGAGATGCCGGACAAAATGGAGACGTCACATGTCACCTTCAACAAAATTCCCCTTTAAAAATAATATCGTCTTCCAGTAGCTACTACAAGCTGGTGACTGACAGCCCCCTGGACAGGGAGCGGGCCCCGGAGTACAACATCACAATCACGGCCACAGACAAGGGCTCCCCCCCGCTCTCCACCCAGAAAACCATCCTCTTGCAGATCTCGGATGTCAATGACAACGCCCCTGTCTTCGAGAAACCTTCCTACAGCGCCTACGTGCCCGAGAACAACCCCTCGGGGGCCTCCATTTTGAGCGTCAAAGCCTCAGACCGGGATCTGGACGGCAACGCCCGGGTCACTTACTCCATCCTGCGCAGCAGCATCCAGGAGCTGCCTGTCTCCTCCTACGTGTCCATCAACTCCCAGACCGGAGCGCTGTACGCGCAGCGCTCCTTCGACTACGAGCAGTTCCGGGCGTTCGAGCTGCAAGTGAAGGCCCAAGACGGCGGGTCGCCGCCTCTCAGCAGCAACGTCACCGTCAGCGTGTTTATCCTGGATCGGAACGACAACGCCCCTCGCATCCTGTATCCCTCGCTCGGGCCCGAGGGCTCGGCCGTGTTCGAGATGGTCCCTCGCTCTGCCGAGGCGGGTTATCTGGTGACGAAGGTGGTGGCGGTGGATGCGGACTCGGGACACAACGCCTGGCTCTCCTACCATGTGCTGCAGGCCACGCAGCCGGCGCTCTTCCAGCTGGGGCTGCACAGCGGGGAGATCCGGACCGCGCGCGCCTTTGCGGACAGAGATGCGGTGAAGCACCGGCTGGTCGCCCTGGTGAAGGACAACGGGCAGCCGCCTCTCTCCGCCACCGTGACTCTGAGCCTGGTATTCGCCGAGAACTTCCAAGAGGCTCTACCGGAAATGAGCGACCGGTCGGCTGAGTCGGCGCCGCAGTCTGATTTGCAGTTCTACTTGGTGTTGGCCTTGGCCTTGGTCTCGTTTCTGTTTCTGCTTTCAGTGATAGCGGTGATAGCCATGAGAGTTCGAAGTTCAAACAGCTCCCCTTTTCTGCAGTATGCCAGGCCAGCTCTGTATTCCAATGATGATCCGAGATTCCCGCCAGACTTCAAAGAAGGGACCTTGCCCTATTCCTATAACTTGTGCTTGGCTACAGACTGCGGGGGAAATGGATTTAATTTGCTTAAAGGTAGCGAGCAGAACTTTACTGCTGAGAACATTCTGGGCAATGACACCTCTGCGATTTTACTTATGGGTAATTCTGGTTCTGAAGCACCAAAATGTGGATCGGAAACTCTTCTCAAGGTGAGATTTTTACCTGAATACTTACATTAATTTTCTTGTGTCCAGTCTTTCGCTCTAATCTGGCCCCTATCACAGTTTTACTGGTTTCAGTCATGTAATTCCAAGAAGCAAATATTTTTTCTATTCTTCTCTACCTCAGGCAATGTCTAGACTACAGAGTTTTGTCTGAAAAATGGCCACACAACTTGTGTTAAGTCTACACTGCAGGTGTGTTCTTTCCACAGTAAATCGAAAGAACAGACAGCTTTTTGCACAATTGGTAATCCTCATTCTAGGGGACAGAAGCCTTTGCATCAAGAGGAGGAAAGGCATGTGTGGACGGGGAGGAGGGAATTTTTTTCGGAAGGAGAGGGAAGACTGGCCTGCCTCTTTGGTTTCATAAGGTTGCAGACACAGTCCTATCATCTGGTCGCCATTCTGTCCATATTAATCACTGCTTATATGTGAGATAACATCCAGACGCTATCTTTCAAAAAAAGCTCATCACTTTTTCAATGCACTTTTGCAGTGTGGATGCTCTCTTGTGCAAGAAGATCTCTTCTGAAAAAAGCTTTTTGAAAAAAGCCTGTATTCTAGACCTAGCCTCAGTTCTAATCTTTATTTTAGGGCAGATCCCCAATTTCTGCCAAACTGCTGTGATAAGACATAAACATATTCTTATAAGCTATGTTGTACTAAACACACTGGAAAATAGACTATGCTTGCCAAGAATGAATGGGCAAAGTATATTCAAGAATATCTTGCCTAATGACAGCTCTGAGACTTTCATTTTAAGCAGGAGTTCTGATTAGAGAGCTCAAAATTTGACAGTAAGGCTTTTCACTAAGTATTTGATGTAAAGTCTATTTTTGGGGTTTTTTTTTTGAATTAGCACATTATCTGATAATGTTTATGAAATTTAGGTTTGTTTATATTGAGATCTTTTCGGGAAAATCTCCCTTTTCTGAGTTAATTTGTGTGTAGTTTCTGTTATAAGGTGCTACACGTTTTGGTAACAAGGAGCTGTCAGCTCCTGTTGCTTAGTTTGAGACTTGAAGAAAAAAATATTAATTTTCCCTGTGGATTGGTATTTTGCCCATATGTGTGCATTATCAAACCACCTTCCAATGGTGGATTAAATTCCTATCGCAGGGATCAGCATCCTATGGCCTTCGAGGTCTAGCTCGGTACGGCTGTTTTGTCATTGCCAAAATACATGGATAAGGAGTCAGGCGGGTGTTGGGATTGGTTCCACTGGCCTAATGGCTAACGCATTAGCCTCGGGAGTCTCAGATTGTGGTTCCAATTCCACCCACTTCACCTCCTACTCCCGTCGTCCAAATTGCAGTGCTTGGGAGGTGGTGCTTCCCCAGGCGCTACACACACGCAGAAGAGGTGTGGTAGAGAGCAATTAGTGCCTAGCACTGCCCGGGCCACAACACTGCTTCCCTACTGCTGGAGCTGTGGGAAGCTGGTGGTTACTGCTCGCGGGGTGGGTGGCTTGCACATGAACTTTGAAACCCCCCTGCTCCGAGCCCCTGTGCATGAAGCAGGATTTGAAGATATGATGTAAGGGAGTAGATGCACCAGAGTATGTTTCATTTATGCTATTATTAATCATAATGCCAATTACCGATAATATTAAGTTGTATGTTTTCAGTCCTGCAAATGGGCATTCTTATTGTTCTGAATTGTTGTGTAGTTTGGCTCTTTGATTTCAAAAGGTTGCACACACCGGTCCTATCACCTTTCTCATTGCCTTTCCATAGGAAAAAATTGCGTGTGTAATCTTTTTGGCAGAGTTTCCATTTTTGACTGGTGTTATTGCATATTCAAAGAATTATTAAACGAATTTTTCCATTCCATTTCACAATGCATTAAAGTCCTTAATAATCAAGGAACATCAATAACATTTTAAATAGACCGTGTGACAGAGTGAAATGCCGAATTTCATCATTTTTGATCAGCCATGTAATTTACTGTGACTTCTGAAGGTTCGTGGTCTATTAATTTGCAAGTTTTTAAAAAACTAATTAATTTGGACCTATATAATCAATTGAAACCCGAACTTCCTCCTGCACAAAAGTTGTGGAATGAAGAGAGAAACGACCAGGAAAGGACCTAATATGCTCACATCTACATGAGGAGTCGACAACAGTCCACAACATGCTGCGAGATATTGTTTTAATTTCTCGGATTCAGTGCCCTCTTAAAGTCCTTCCCTCCCTGTATCACTCTCTGAAGGTGTGACGTAGTGGGGGTACCCACACTGGCTGCCGTGGGTACCACGACCCAGCAAAACAGGATGAGTCACTATGCAACCAGTGGCCAGACACCCCCCATGTAGAGGAACAAAGGAAGGGGGATGCTGCCCTAGCTGGGGGGCAGGGCGGGAAGAGGGTTAGTTAGTTGCTGTCTGTGAGCATGGAGGAGAGCCTAGGGAAAGGGGCTGGAGTTTAGGGGCCCAGTCTCCCCCATCTCAAGGGGGCCTGAGGCATCCTAGCCCAGCTCTGTGACCAGATTACATCTGTGCTGTGCTGTATCCTGGAGAGGCAATAAACTTCCTCTATTCCATCGGCTGGTGCAGTCTGTTTGTGCCATTTCGGGGTGCAGGAGACGGGGGACCCCCAACGCGCCGTCACAGAAGGTGAACAGCTAATTAGCATGTAGAAAACAAAACGAGAAGGAGCAAACATTGGTAATACCATTTCTCTTTGCTTAGAATGTAAGAGGTGTTAATTTGAACAAGACTGTCAGCTGTCCCCAAGTGTATACCTCAGACATTTTGTACTCGCGGGTTGAAAATAACAGGGTTTATTGATAAGATGGAAATACAATATTACAGCTACAGATATCCCTCACCGTGCAACCCTGACGTGCCAGTGATATCATGGTTCTTCATATTTCTGTTCGAAGGGGAGTAATTTACAGGAAGTAAATGTAAACATACATGGCATTTTCATGTTTATACGGATTTCTGACTCCCCCAACATAGATCCCAAATAACTTTGCTTTAATTTCTCAAGCAAGTTACACTACTAAATGGCACATCAGTGTTTGAATGGCTCCGTAATCTTTATTTTGAATGGACAAAGAACCGACCGCCTCACTACAATCTAACGGAAATACAGACATCACTCCGTAACGCTACAGAAGTGGGCTGTCCCCACGAAAGCTCATGATGCCATCTACATGTTCTCTTAGTCTTTAGGGTGCTGCGGGACTATTCGTGGGGTTTAAAGTGTTAATAGCGCTGGAGCGTTGAACTGAGATTAAAAGGCAGCTTTTAAAGGACTGTCTGCAGTAATTGGTTGAGACTCTGAGCGCCGCTGTTGACCTATCAGGCAGAGAATCGCGCTGAGCGATCCAGCCCGTCACGCCGAGCTGAGCGCTGAGCTCAGACTCCTTGAGAGGAATGGGCAAGGGACGTGGCTGCGGGGGGTTCTATAAAGCAACACTGCTTACAACATCAGTGGCTGCGGACGCAGAGGACTCCAGTGAGGGGAAATACGTGGCCGGGGATCCGAGCGCCTGTCACCGGAGAGCGATGGCGGATACACCAAGGAGCCGCGGCCGCACACAGAGAGCACAGTTCTACTTTATACTGGCTACGGTTTGGGAGGCGGTGTCTGGGCACATTCGCTACTCGATTCCCGAGGAAATGCAGAAAGGCTCCGTTGTGGGGGACGTGGCAAAGGGGATGGGGCTGGACTCGGAGCGGCTCTCGGAGCGCGCGGTCCGCCTTGTTTCCGGAGGTAGGACGCAGTACTTCGCTCTGAATGCGGAGAGCGGCCATTTGATCACCGCGGAGCGCATAGACAGGGAGCGGATCTGCGGCCGAGCCGAGACCTGTCTCTTGCAATGTGAGATTCTGGTTGAGGATAAAGTGAAGCTGTTCGCAGTGGAAGTGGAAATCACGGACATTAATGACAACGCCCCCAGCTTCCCGGCGAAGGAGCTGGAGTTAAAAATCAGTGAGATTACAGCTGTGGGGACTCGGATCTCCCTGCCGGAGGCGCAGGATCCGGATGTGGGAATAAACTCCATCCAGAACTACCGACTGAGCGACAGCGCGCACTTTTCTCTGGCTGTGCAGGCCGGATCGGATGGTGCTAAGTATGCGGAGCTGGTGCTGGAAAAGGCTCTGGACCGGGAAACGCGGCCTGTCCACGTATTAACTCTCACAGCAGCTGACGGCGGAGACCCAGTGAGAGCCGCCACTGCTCACATCCGCGTTGTGGTTGGTGACATTAATGACAACGCCCCGGTCTTCACTCAGCCGCTCTATAACGTGAGTGTTTTGGAAAACGCGCCTCGCGGGTCCCTGGTTCTCACGGTAAACGCCACGGACCGCGATGAGGGACCGAATTCCGAGGTGACCTTTTCGTTCAGAAAAATTACAGACAAGGCCGCTCAGATATTCCAGCTTGAGCCTAGGACAGGAGAAATATCGACGAGAGGCGACCTGGACCACGAGGAGGCTGCGGCATTTGAAATGGAAGTGGAGGCCAAGGATATCGGAGCCCTCTCGGCCAGGTGCAAAGTGCTGGTAACGGTGCTCGATGTGAACGATAATTCCCCGGCGATTGCAATCACTTCCCTGCTCGGCCCGGTGCCTGAAGACGCACCCCCCGGCACAGTCATCTCGCTGCTACATGTCCAGGACGGAGACTCCGGCCCGAATGGAGAGGTCACGTGCTCCATCGCAGCCAATCTGCCGTTCCGCTTGCAGAAGACATTGGACAATTACTACAGCTTGGTGACTGACAGAGCCCTGGACCGGGAGCGGGTCTCGGGTTACAATGTGACGGTCACAGCCACAGACCGCGGGACTCCCCCGTTATCCTCCACCACAAGCATCTCAGTGCAACTTTCGGACATAAACGACAACGCGCCCGTCTTCAGCCAGACATCCTACACTGTGTCCATCCCCGAGAACAACCCCAGCGGGGCCTCCGTGTGCTCCGTGAGGGCCACTGACCGCGACTGGGGGGAGAACGCCCGAGTGACTTACTCTCTGCTGGAGGGCGAGGGCCGCGAAGCTCCGCTCTCCTCCGCCGTGTCCATTAACTCGGAGACCGGGGCTGTGTACGCGCTGCGCTCCTTCGACTACGAGCAGCTGCGGGAGCTTCGGTTCCGGGTGCAGGCTCGGGACGGGGGGTCCCCGCCGCTCCGCAGCAATGTCTCCGTCAGGCTCTTGGTGCTGGACCAGAATGACAACAGCCCGCACATCCTGCACCCCGCCTCCCCCAGCGATGGCTCCACGGGAGTGGAGCTGGCCCCTCGCTCCTCCGAGCCGGGCTACCTGGTCACCAAGGTGGTGGCGGTGGATGCGGACTCCGGGCAGAACGCCTGGCTCTCCTACCAGCTGCTGAAGGCCACGGAGCCGGGGCTCTTCTCGGTCGGAGTCCACAGCGGCGAGGTGCGGACAGCGCGCTACTTTGTGGACAGGGACGGCCTGAAGCAGAGCCTGGTGGTGCTGGTGAAGGACAACGGGCAGCCCCCTCTCTCGGCCACCGTCACTGTCACGGTGGCGGTGGCTGACAGCATCCCCGAGCTCCTGTCGGACCTGAGCAGCCTCTCGGCTCCCGCGCAGCCGCAGTCCGGCCTCACCTTGTACCTGGTGATCGCGGTGGCGTCCGTGTCCTGCGTCTTCCTCACCTTCGTCATAGCGCTGGTGGCCCTGCGGCTCCGGCGGTGGCGCGAGTCGCAGCTGTTGGACTCCTCGAGTGGGACTTTCAGCGGAGTTCCCGTCTCGCACTTCGTGGGCATCGATGGGGTCAGAGCGTTTCTCCACTCCTACTCCCAGGAGGCGTCGCTCACCGCGGGCTCCGGGAAGAGCCAGTTCAACTTCCCCCAGTCAAACTATGCAAACACTCTGACCAGCGAGCAGACGTGTGAGGTAAAGGATCCTTTCCTAATGGCCGAGGAGTTAGACAGTAACAGGGATCAGTCCTCCGTTCAGGTGAGCTGATAGATGATGTGGGGTTTTGTGTTAGTTTTTCGTGTTTAAGATTAATCTTCCGCTGTCTGTTCGATTAGTTGAAAAGCGAGGATGAGAGACCTGAATTATTGAGGTTAGTGGGAATTTAGCTTTTGACGTCCATTAGCATAGGACCAAGCTCTCTGTGGCTGAGAGAATGTTGTGCACTTGCTTGTTCTGGGGGAGGAGGGTATTTTGGTGTGTTGGGGACTGGTGATATGTACACAGTTGGTTTGGAAATGGCACAAACGTCTTCTCCCCTGTTTAGTTTTCAATGAAATTATTCCAGATTGAACTTTTGCTTTAAGACACGATACCTTTTTCAGAGTTCTTCCGACTCAGCATGGGAAGTTACAAATGCACAGACATTTCTGACTGTGAAAAATACTAAGTTTAGTGAAAGGCAAGTTGGTGAGACATAGAAGAGCTTCGAACCCTCCCTTACTTCAATGGGGGGAAAAAATCTCTCACGGTTAATATAATCCCGCTGTCATATGACTTCAGTTTTTATTATTTTAGGTAGAACAACTGTAGTACAGAATTAAACTGAGTAATTCATCTAAGGGTCTGTCAAGTTGTCTGCACTATTGCTTTTCTTGTTTCCAGTAATTTGGCGTTTGCAAGTTGGGTGTTGTGGATGCAGATTTAAGCATCAGATTTTATTGTCATTGTTTTTATTTTCATGATGTACATGTTTTGACACGTGTTTTTAACTTTTACGAAGGACAATTTTTTTCGGTATTTATATAGAGGAACTGACTCAGTTGACCAAATATCTTGACATTTTGTACCTCTAATAAATGCTTGTCTCTAGAATCCTATTGAAGGAGAAGAAAAGTAAAAGACCTAATGTTCTGTTTTATTTCTAATCAGTTCTACAGATGTAGGTACATTTATATATATTTACATGTAGGAAATTTTCATTTCAAAATGACAAATTAACTTCATGTATAGCATGTTGTAGGCTTTTTGTCCAACAGTATTAGAGAGACAAGGAGAGTGAGCCATTAACTTTTGTTGGCGAGAGAGACAAGTTTTACTCTGGGAAATAAGCTCAGAGCATCACAGCTAAATATCAGGTAGAACACACTGTAGATAACACATCTTTCAAGGCCCAGGTCAAGGTGAAGGGGCAAGTGAACATCTCTTCAGTCAAATGGAGAAAAGGGGGGGAAATACTGTCCTGCCCTCTTAGAATGTAAAATCTCCTTTAATCAGTTAACCAGTTAAACATTAGGTTTAAGTGGTTAACAAGGCAAGTGAGATCCTGGTGGGGAAGTGCTTCAGCTCATTTGGAGGATCCCCCAGCCTCTGGGGCTGCTCGCTCTGCCAGCCCGTGCAGGGTTGAGGCTCCCAGTCCCTCATGGATTCCTGTGGTGTGTTTGGCCTGGCAGGGCTGGAGCAGCCTTCTGCCCTTGGCAGGCAGCTGGCAGGGGGCTGCTCTGGGGCACCAGTTAACCATTACCAGGTAAGCATCAGCCAGGTTAACCGGTTACCGGTTCCCATCCTTATCCCCCACCCCATTCTTAGGCGGGGACAGTCATCCAGACAGAGTCTTGGTGGACAGATACTGACAGATGGACTGCACACACACAGAGAAGGTGCACTCATACACACCCAGGACATACACATGCAGGGCCGCACAGAATTTTTGATACAGCCAGAAACTATTTGCTTTCCATTTTCTGTTGTGCACAAATTTAGGTACATTTGAATCCCAAGTACGTAGTGAAATGTCATAGAAAAGTGTTACCGCATGGATTTCATAATGCTCTACAATGAATAGATCTTAATATCATTTTCACCCTCACCTAACTTTTAGTTTCACATTTACTCATCTCACTCATGGAGAATTATGAAAGTAGCATAAATTGTTTACAATAAAATCCTAAATAATAGGTTAAATTTCTGTAAAGGTCCATCCTATTTTAGTTGTGTGTGTCTTACAATTTCACCTTTTTAGGTTTAGTGAAATTCATTAAAGTTTATATAATGGCTTTATCATTTATTTATTTATCTGAGAAAAATTATCAAACATTTCTTTAATGTTTACTTAAGGAAAAACATATGTTTGATATCTCACAGATATAATGAATGGGTCTTCAGCTGAAATGCTGGTGTCTGCGGTAGTGCTGTGAACTGTGATGAATTCACAAAAACAAATGTATCAATGGCATATATACTTTACATCTGGTGATATCTTCTAATGAAGGTATTTACAGTGAATAATTTCAACATTCCATATCTCATATTTGGAACTCGTCTGGGACACTTAATTTTGTCTCTATGGCAGTGTCTTTTTGGGACATGGATTCCTTTTCAATTATGGAATTACATGTGTGGTCTTATTCAGGAATTACCTTACAGCTTTTGATTGTAGTTTATGTCAATAGGAACAATATGTGAATAAGAACATCATCATATACCTCACATTATAGTTTACATAGTGCCTTCTACCCAGGGACCTCAAAGTGTGTTTCAGATGAAAATTGTTTAATTAAGTTTCTCAAAAACTGAGCCAGAAGGAGAATACATAATTTACATATAGGCAGATGAGAAAGCTAAGACACAGAGAGTGCAATTAAGCTTTTCAATCTTGTAAATGCATAGACCTGTACTGGAGTGTTATATGAGGGGCCTCATTTCATATGTACTCAATTCCACAAATCCTAATGACATCTGCAGGAGCCAGCACATGGTGTCCCGGCATCACTTATTGATATTTTTAAACATCTTTCCAAATGTCACACTGTCAAACTGCTGGGAATGGATGAAAAGCACTGCAGTGCTTGGGTTCCAAAAGGTAATACAAGCTGCTGTAATAGGCACACTCTTTAGGTCCTTTAGCAATAAGTAACTGGAGCTCCCCTGCCTATGCTTAGAAATTCTGACGTCTCCAAACTCCAAGCAGCATAGAGATCTAATTTGTCTTTGTCTGGGATTTTTATTCTCTTTCTCTCAGGGTATGTCTACACTACCCCCCTAGTTCGAACTAGCGGGGTAATGTATGCATACCGAACTTGCTAATGAAGCCCGGGAAATTCAAATCCCAGGCTTCATTAGCAAGTTCGGTATGCATACATTACCCCGCTAGTTCGAACTAGCGGGGTAATGTATGCATACCGAACTTGCTAATGAAGCCCGGGAAATTCAAATCCCAGGCTTCATTAGCAAGTTCGGTATGCATACATTACCCCGCTAGTTCGAACTAGCGGGGTAATGTATGCATACCGAACTTGCTAATGAAGCCCGGGAAATTCAAATCCCAGGCTTCATTAGCAAGTTCGGTATGCATACATTACCCCGCTAGTTCGAACTAGCGGGGGAGTGTAGACATACCCTCAGAGATGAAGCTGATGGGATGATTTTAGGCTCATATCTCCTTTTTATGGGGGAATGGGGAGAAGAGATTAATTAATAAAATCTTTGTTGTTTTACAATGGTTCATTTGGTTTCAATGCTCCCTCTTATGAGCAGAACTTAACACCTTCTGTAGTAAGTCAGCATTACATTAGGTAATGACAGGCAACTGGTTTTACTGTTATATATGCTCTGGATTCTATAATTTCCACTCTAGTTTAGCCAACAAAGTGGCTTTTGCCCATAAGCCTCATGATATAATGTATTTGTTAATCTCTGTGAAGGGACTCACCATCTCAAGAGTGCCCTTTAGTGGCTGAGGGTGTGTCTGCAACTTCTCCTCCCCTTGGGCTTTCCTGGTTGGTCACCTGAGAGCAGACTTCTTATCCCCCTTTTGTAGATGTTGGGGAATTGTAGGGACTCAGGCCAATTCATGTCTCTGGGTCCCAGCCTAAGGACCCTATAAATAGCAGTTGACTCCTAAGTATCACAATGGTCCACTACTATTTCACTCTCTGGGCCACTTCCCCAAGAAGCTGCTCTGTCCAGATCTCTCTCAGGCTTTGAGGTCAAGTTCTCCCCACAGCTGTCCAGGGTTCTGCAAATTGTTGTAGTCTGTCAACATTAGCTGCTGGACTTGGGTTTCAGCCAGGTCTGAATTCCAGCTCACACTCGGAGCTGTCCAAAGTGCTGCTGTTCTCCCAGTCAATCGCTACATCTGATTGGGTTCAGCTCCAGCGAGGTACTGCCAAGCCCTAGCCTATCAGCTTCTTTGATATCAGCTTGCTGAATCCTGATTGGCTGCAGCAGAAGCAGTCATTCTAGTCTGCCCGAAGGACCTCTTTTATGCTCTTCTCTCTGGGGCCTGGTGTGGGAAAGCCTTCCAGCAGGGATGTTTGGGTCTAGTCCACCCCATCACAATCTCTGGTGCCACAGGGCTACTCATTGTTTTCATAGTCACAGAGGTTTACATTGAAAACACTCAATGTAACCTTAACATGTGGAGTAAAGACGTTATAAGTGAGATTAGTACGTGCATCCAAGGACCATTTAATAAAATCTAAACACTTAATACATTCGTCCAAATTTAAATCTAATGGTTGCCTTAGGGACAGTCACATGCTCTGTCCTGACAAAGATTATAAGTCACTAGATGAAATGCTTTGATGTGAAGCATTTGCCCTGGATTCAGACAACTAACTAAAGAAATTTATTAAAGACCTATAATATGTCACTTCACCTACTGACATTTTTTAAGAATAATTTTATGTCAGTATTTTCACAGTTTCATGAAATGTTTCATAGTTGGAGTACCTAATATTTCTCTTGAGAACTGTTTGTTTTATTTATAAGAAAACGTTATTTTTGGTAACTGACTTGGATTAAAATTATTGAATGGATACAGGAAAAAAGGAAAATTTCTTACTTTTAGTTATCTCGTATTTGTTATACTCTCTTAGTCCCTTCTCATTAGAACATCTCTGTCATACTTCACACTTATGTTGCCTTCCATCCAATCATATTAAAGGGCCTGATCCAAAAACCTATTGTATTCAGGGGAATTCTCATTTTATTAATTCCAGTGGGCATTAGGTCGGGCTCAGAGTAACTACAAACAGTGATAAATTAGTCTCACAACAATCCTGTGATTTAGGAAAGTTAAATTATTCTGAAATTAACTGTGAGAAAGCTCAGGTAAATTATTCTGAAATTAACTGTGAGAAAGCTCAGGCACAGAAAGGTTTCGACCAACGTTTTCAAATATGCGCTAGGCATGTGAGCCAATACTTAGGCCAAAGGGCTTCCTATTCAAGTTGCTGGGGGCTCACAGACCCCCCCCCCCGAGAGTGAGTGGCAGCTGAAGTCCAGTGTCTCTGAAAAACAAGCTATTTATTTAAACTCCTCGGAATGGAATTTGGAACCTAACAGGTCGCGGACCCTCCACCTGCCGGACCCGAGGAGTCGAGAGCAGCTGCCGACCATGTTCCGGTTCCTCGGGAAATGGAGGGTCAGTGGCTGCCTACAGCTTCCCAGCTGGGAAATCGGCACTCGAGCCCTCGAGTCCCCGCCCCAGGCCAGGCGGGAAGCTGGAATCAGCGCGGCCCCTCCAGCTGCAGTGGGAAGGGGTCCTGCGAGACAGGGACTCGGGGCCGGAGATGTTCTCATGTCCCACCAGGAACCGGGACCCGAGCTTCGCAGTATCAGTTCGCTGCGCTCCAGCTATGGAAGTTATGTTACAAATGATGTAACCGAACGAGGCTATGAGGGAACTAAACTACCTTGCCGGAAATGCCTTATAGCGCGGAAAGGCCACGTGAGGGCATTTTATTACACCAACAGGCATTTCCATCGTTTGGTTTAATATTCAGTGTGTTAAAAAGTCTATTTTATTCTTAAAGGGAAACAAAATTAAGTTTCTCACAATGCGATGAGCTTCGGAGCTGATTCATTATACGTTGGCCAGGCGCGCGGAGTCGCCGCTTCTCAGATCTGTATGATTTTAACTCTGAAAAAGTCAGTTTATGAAGGAACTGACGCTTACTGACATCTCGGTGTTTCCGACTCGGGATGTGAGTTTCTCGCCTGCAGTTTCCTCCCTGAGACTCAGGGTGTCGCTGTTGGCCAACGCCGAGCCAGGGCTGCAGCCGGGAACCGAGCCGAGCCCCTTGCAAAGCTCCGCACGGAGCAGATCTCCGGAGAAACGCAGCAGAGAGACAGTGTCGCCGAAACACCAAACCCTCCCTCGGATCGCTGCAATCCGGCCGGGAAACAGCCGCCATTTCCTCTCACTACGGACCCCGGCACTCCTACAAGCGCAGGGAATTTGGAATGTAGGATCGATCACAAGAAAAGCGGCGAGAAAACAGAGACGGGAGATGGAGACCAGGCGCCGGGCGGCCCCACGGCAAGTACTGCTCCTCGCCTGCTTCTTGCCTTTGTTCTGCCGCGCGGCCCCGGAGCAGACTCGCTACTCGATCCCCGAGGAAATGGCCAAAGGCTCCCTCGTGGGGAACCTCGCCCAGGATCTGGGGCTGGAGCTGAGGGAGCTGCCGCTGCGGAAGCTCCGTGTCAGTTCGGAACAGCAGCACTTCAGTGTGAATGGGGAGAACGGGGACTTGTCTGTGAATGGCCGCATAGACCGGGAGGAGATCTGCGGGAAATCACCGACTTGTTTCCTAAATGTAGAAGTTGTGGTTGAAAACCCTTTGAACGTTTTCCACCTGAATGTCGCAGTCCAGGACATTAACGATAATGCACCGCGGTTTGTTAAAAATACGGTTGATTTAGAAATTAATGAATTCGCACAGCCTGGTGCGCGATTTCCTCTAGAACCTGCTCAAGATCCCGATGTTGGAGCTAATTCGCTGCAGAGCTACCAGCTCAGTCCAAATTCATGCTTTAGCTTGAAATTGAAGGAAAATCCAGCTGGGAAAAAACAAGCAGAATTAGTGTTAGAGAAAGCTTTGGATAGAGAGAAGCAGAGTTACCATCACTTGGTTCTGAGGGCTGTGGATGGGGGAGATCCCGTCCGCACTGGAACAGTTCAGATTAACATCAGTGTCACTGACGCTAATGACAATGCCCCCGCCTTCTCCGAAGAGGTCTACAAAGTCAGCCTGAAGGAAAATCTACCGAATGACTCCTTAGTGCTTCAGGTTAGAGCCACTGATAAAGATGAGGGCACAAATGCGAAAATAGCATATTCTTTCAGCAACATACCGCAGAGTGCAAGACAGCTCTTCAGCTTAGCTTCCGATGGAACAATCACAACAAAAGGGTCTCTGGATTTTGAAGAGGCACATAATTACATCCTGGGTGTAGAAGCCCGGGATGGCGGCGGTCTGACAGGCCACTGCAACGTTCACATAGAACTTCTGGATGAGAACGACAATAGTCCCGAAGTGACCTTGACATCCCTGTTTAGTCCCATTCCCGAAGACTCGGTGCCCGGGACAGTGATCGCGCTGATCAAAGCCCGGGACCCAGACGATGGAGGAAATGAAGAAGTCACGTGTCGCATTCAAGATAATCTGCATTTCAAAATAGTGTCCTCCTCCAGCAGCTACTACAAGCTGGTGACTGACAGCCCCCTGGACAGGGAGCGGGCCCCGGAGTACAACATCACAATCACGGCCACAGACAAGGGCTCCCCCCCGCTCTCCACCCAGAAAACCATCCTCTTGCAGATCTCGGATGTCAATGACAACGCCCCTGTCTTCGAGAAACCTTCCTACAGCGCCTACGTGCCCGAGAACAACCCCTCGGGGGCCTCCATTTTCAGTGTCAAAGCCTCAGACCGGGATCTGGACGGCAACGCCCGGGTCACTTACTCCATCCTGCGCAGCAGCATCCAGGAGCTCCCTGTCTCCTCCTACGTGTCCATCAACTCCCAGACCGGAGCGCTGTACGCGCAGCGCTCCTTCGACTACGAGCAGTTCCGGGCGTTCGAGCTGCAAGTGAAGGCCCAAGACGGCGGGTCGCCGCCTCTCAGCAGCAACGTCACCGTCAGCGTGTTTATCCTGGATCGGAACGACAACGCCCCTCGCATCCTGTATCCCTCGCTCGGGCCCGAGGGCTCGGCCGTGTTCGAGATGGTCCCTCGCTCTGCCGAGGCGGGTTATCTGGTGACGAAGGTGGTGGCGGTGGATGCGGACTCGGGACACAACGCCTGGCTCTCCTACCATGTGCTGCAGGCCACGCAGCCGGCGCTCTTCCAGCTGGGGCTGCACAGCGGGGAGATCCGGACCGCGCGCGCCTTTGCGGACAGAGATGCGGTGAAGCACCGGCTGGTCGCTCTGGTGAAGGACAACGGGCAGCCGCCTCTCTCCGCCACCGTGACTCTGAGCCTGGTGTTCGCCGAGAACTTCCAAGAGGCTCTTCCGGAAATGAGCGATCGGTCGGCTGACTCGGCGCCACAGTCTGATTTGCAGTTCTACTTGGTGTTGGCCTTGGCCTTGGTCTCGTTTCTGTTTCTGCTTTCAGTGATAGCGGTGATAGCCATAAGAGTTCGAAGTTCAAACAACTCCCCTTTTCTGCAGTATGCCAGGCCGGCTCTGTATTCCAATGATGATCCCAGATTCCCGCCAGACTTCAAAGAAGGGACCTTGCCCTATTCCTATAACTTGTGCTTGGCTACAGACTGCGGGAAAAATGTATTTAATTTGCTCAAAAGTAGTGACCAAAACTTTACAGCTGATGATATCCTGGGGAATGACACCTCTGGGATTTTACTTGTGAATAATTCTGGTTCTGAAGGACCCAAATCCGGATCAGAAACTCTTCTTAAGGTGAGATTTTGCAATATCGATTTACGGTGTCTGTTCTGTGATTCTGAATTAAATTATTCAGGCAATGAAGAATGATCATACTGAATTTGAATCATTTGAATTAGAGGATTTTTAGAATAATTTTATTTGATATGCGCGTTTTTTGTCTTCCTTGTAGCATAAATTTAGTTCCAACGGGTAGCTAATGAGTAATGAATGGTGCAGGACTATATCCAAAATTCTAGTCTAATTGCGCCTTGCACCAGCTGTTTTACCCGAGGTTTATGGAATGTGGATTAAGGAAAGAGGTCAGTAAGTGAAGATTATAAACATTTGACATTTTAAATATTCCTTTTACCGGTATGCTGCATTTCATAATTGGCAGGGAACATTAGTATAGTTTCAAAGCAAAGTGTGTAACAGAACTGGAGCCAATTATTAATTCCAATGGTTTATGAAGGAAATACGTGTCGTTTTCTATGCATTTTTATGTAATGAAAATATGTAAGTAGCACAGACGTGTGTTATATCCAAACCCAAATATTTTCTTAATAGAAAAGTTAGAGAAACCAAACTAGAAATTAAATGTAAAACATTCCACGGATATATTTACATGTAGTTATTAATTCTGCAGGAGTTTACGGGACATTAACCAATAATTGTCTCTCTCTTTGGAGACAGAGCTCTGGAAACCTCTTTACCTCTCAGGTGATGATTTTGCATTTGAGTACATATTAGATTACCACAAACGAATAAACGTTAGGAATGTCATTTCACCTGATTTAGCGTTTAAATAGAAGGAGATATTAACCCGGTCCATTTTGAGAGTTACTGCCCGTTTCCCCCCTCACAGACGGCAGTTTACATCTGTATTCCGTCCTCATTCCTCGTCAATAACAGTCTTTAATTGTTGCATTTTCAAATGTCTCCCTCGTGCCTCCATGATCAATGTATGACACCGCGAAAGAAGATTAGAGGAGCGAGAAACACTCATGTTCTCTGTATCTAAAGCACATTGCTTGGAGTAAACATGTACGATATTTTTTTCCATTAGAACATCTTTGTGAGTCCCTGACACATGAGAGGTGTGTTTTATTCAGGCAGATAAATCTGTGATATCACCCGCTAGACTAGGAAATAAATAATCCGTCTGTCTTCCCCGTGTTAGCACAACCAACTCTATTTAGATAATTGTTTATTAAGGACTCTTTATTTTAACGGATTCCATGGACAATTTAAACAGGCTTATTGGTGGGTGGGTTTATTTTAAATAGTGGAAGCAACTACAAATAAAAAGTCCTGGGGAAATATGAATTAACAGAGCGGAGAGATACAAGACTTGGGATTTTTTTAAATGCAGTTATTGGTTGAGACTCTGAGCGCCGCTGTTGACCAATAAGGGAGAGGAACGCATTGGGAGATCCAGCCCGCCCCGCCCGCCGCTGCACGCCCAGCGCAGAGATCTGACTCTCACTCGCGGGGTTTTAACCGGGAATAAGCAGAGACGCGGGTTAATGTAACGGCAGCGAATGCGGAAACCCAGGACTGCGATACAGGGAAATACATACGGGACTGGGGCTCCGAGCGCTGTACTCGCCCCAGGGACATGGCACGCACAGCCGGTCTCCGGGAGCGAAAGGGGCGAGCGCTGCTTTGTGTTTTATTGGTTACCGTGGCGGAGGCAGTTTCTGGGCAAATTCGCTACTCGATCCCGGAGGAAACGCACAAAGGCTCGTTCGTGGGGGACATCGCGAAGGATTTGGAGCTGGACGCGGAGCAGCTCTCAGACCGCCGGGTCCGCATTGTCTCCCGAGGTAGGAGTCAGTATTTTGCTTTGAATGTTAAGAGCGGCCATTTATACACCGCAGACACAATAGACAGAGAGGAGATCTGCGGCCGGGTGGAGATCTGTGTGATAAAGTTTGAGGTTCTTTGTGAGGATTCAGCGAAGCTTTTTCCAGTTGAAGTGGAAATAACCGATATTAATGATAATGCTCCAGGCTTCCCGTCAGAGAAATTAGAGTTAAGAATCAGCGAGACAACAGCTGTGGGGACCCGGATTTCCCTGCAGCTGTCGCAGGATCCAGACGTGGGAACTAATTCCGTCCAGAGATACCAACTCAGCACTAATAGGCATTTCTCTCTGGATGTGCACACTAGGTCCGACCGTGTTAAATATGCGGAAATGGTGCTTGAAAAACCTCTGGACAGGGAAGAACAAAGTACTCACGAGTTAATCCTCACAGCCATTGATGGCGGAGATCCCGTCAGGTCTGGCACTGCGCAGATCCGCATTATTGTCCTGGATGCAAATGACAATGCTCCAGTTTTTACTGAGCCTGTCTATAGAGCGAGCGTTTTCGAAAATACACCTATAGGTTCCCCGGTGGTATCAGTCAAAGCCACGGATCTGGATGAAGGAGTTAACCAAGAGCTAAAATACACTTTCAAAACAATCACAGACGAGGCTGCCCAAACATTCCGCTTGGATTCGAGGACGGGGGAAGTGACACTGGTGGGGGACTTGGATTTCGAGAAAGCCGCGTTGTATGAAATCGAGGTGCAAGCGGGAGACGGGGGAGGCCTTTTCAACAGATCCAAACTCCTGATCGAGGTCAGCGATGTCAATGACAACGCCCCAGAACTGACCATCACGTCGCTCCTCAATGCGATCCCCGAGGACGCTACCCCCGGGACTGTGGTCGCCCGAATGGAGAGGTCACGTGCTCCATCGCAGCCAATCTGCCGTTCCGCTTGCAGAAGACATTGGACAATTACTACAGCTTGGTGACTGACAGAGCCCTGGACCGGGAGCGGGTCTCGGGTTACAATGTGACGGTCACAGCCACAGACCGCGGGACTCCCCCGTTATCCTCCACCACAAGCATCTCAGTGCAACTTTCGGACATAAACGACAACGCGCCCGTCTTCAGCCAGACATCCTACACTGTGTCCATCCCCGAGAACAACCCCAGCGGGGCCTCCGTGTGCTCCGTGAGGGCCACTGACCGCGACTGGGGGGAGAACGCCCGAGTGACTTACTCTCTGCTGGAGGGCGAGGGCCGCGAAGCTCCGCTCTCCTCCGCCGTGTCCATTAACTCGGAGACCGGGGCTGTGTACGCGCTGCGCTCCTTCGACTACGAGCAGCTGCGGGAGCTTCGGTTCCGGGTGCAGGCTCGGGACGGGGGGTCCCCGCCGCTCCGCAGCAATGTCTCCGTCAGGCTCTTGGTGCTGGACCAGAATGACAACAGCCCGCACATCCTGCACCCCGCCTCCCCCAGCGATGGCTCCACGGGAGTGGAGCTGGCCCCTCGCTCCTCCGAGCCGGGCTACCTGGTCACCAAGGTGGTGGCGGTGGATGCGGACTCCGGGCAGAACGCCTGGCTCTCCTACCAGCTGCTGAAGGCCACGGAGCCGGGGCTCTTCTCGGTCGGAGTCCACAGCGGCGAGGTGCGGACAGCGCGCTACTTTGTGGACAGGGACGGCCTGAAGCAGAGCCTGGTGGTGCTGGTGAAGGACAACGGGCAGCCCCCTCTCTCGGCCACCGTCACTGTCACGGTGGCGGTGGCTGACAGCATCCCCGAGCTCCTGTCGGACCTGAGCAGCCTCTCGGCTCCCGCGCAGCCGCAGTCCGGCCTCACCTTGTACCTGGTGATCGCGGTGGCGTCCGTGTCCTGCGTCTTCCTCACCTTCGTCATAGCGCTGGTGGCCCTGCGGCTCCGGCGGTGGCGCGAGTCGCAGCTGTTGGACTCCTCGAGTGGGACTTTCAGCGGAGTTCCCGTCTCGCACTTCGTGGGCATCGATGGGGTCAGAGCGTTTCTCCACTCCTACTCCCAGGAGGCGTCGCTCACCGCGGGCTCCGGGAAGAGCCAGTTCAACTTCCCCCAGTCAAACTATGCAAACACTCTGAGCAGCGAGCAGACGTGTGGGGTAAAGGATCCTTTCCTAATGGCCGAGGAGTTAAACGTTAGTAACGCGGATCAAACGTCGGTTCAGGTGAGCTAAGGTCATTGCGTCTTGGTTCTGTGAGTCCAGAGGATCTGATGTTGGTTTCTCCGGGAACGTCTAGTGAGAAGGAAGGGAGGGTTTATGTTTGTAGAGAAGGAAAGGGGACAATTCCAGGCTATTGATGTCAATTGTCTTTTCCGTGCTGCAGACAGAGTTGGCTCTGGGGCAGCAAGGTATTTGTAACTTGTCTATTAACTTTTAATCTTCTGCCTTTCCTTTTGCAATGGCACAATCTCTGTGTCTCCTTTTTACTGACAGTACACCTTTTAGTGTTTGTTGAAACCCAACTCCCTTCCTGCATCTTCCTCTGTCTGTTATGCACTTGGGATAGTAGGGAAATGTCACTATATATAGTACTTTAATTGTATTGAAAGACAGTTTGATTTGAAGGCAGTGACCTTCTTACCTTTAATCTGGTAAAAGGCCTGCCTTATTTTTAATAATTTAATTTATTTACGCATCAAATCATGGTTTTGTCCTATAATACATTTCATGTTGTTTTGTTTTCCTGTTGACATTCATGTTCCCAATAGTCTGGCATTTCACCTTTGGAAGTTATGGGCATTTTTAAAAAGTGCAGGTGATATAAGCATCTATTCAGCAGGCCCCTTAAGCCACATGGATAAATTTAAGCAAGTGAATAGCCCTACTGTGAGAGAGAGACTTTGGTTATTTGTAGCTTACTGACTTGTTTTTGGAAGTTATATCTCTCTGCTTTAAGAGAGTTAACACAATTTTATAACAAGTTCGTTTACATTCCAGACCTTTCTATTATTATGTAAATGTCAGACATACAGAATTATGAAACTTGTATATATACCATCATTAGAATATGAGATGGCTATAATTTTTGTTGTTTATGTACTACTATTGGGCCTTGAAACATTTAATAATTTGTTTAAACATTTATAAAATGTCTTTGGAATAGGGCTATCAAGAGAATAATTGTGATTATATTAATCATGATTAAAAACATGATTAATTGTGCTGTTGAACTCTAATATAAAATTATTTACGTAAATATGTTGGTGCATTCTACATTCTGAAATACTTTATATCAATTATCACACAGAACATGAAGTATACTGTGTTCCCTTTATTTTTATTACAAATACTTGTATTGTAAAAAAAAAGATATTGTTTTTCAATTCACCTAATACAAGTAATGTAGTGCCAGCTGTTTATTACCAAAGGTGAACTTACAAATGTAGAATTATGTACAAAAATAACTGCATCTAAAAATAAAACAATGTAAAATTTTAGAGTCTAGAATGGGGTGAGCAATAAAAAAAACCAGAAGCCCACCAGGGTTAATCCCTGGCTGGCTTCTGCCACTATATTTACCTGCCCCTCCACAGGTATTGGATGATCATCATCTGTACATCACCATTTTCACTAATGGAAGGGGCAGGAAGCAGTGTGGACTGGGAAGGTACTTCCCACCACTCCCATTAACTACAAACATCTATCCATGGCCAACAAGAGCTGAAATCACTGGATACCTAAGGAGGAACAGGTCAATATGGAGGTGGTGGCTTGAGAGAGAACAAACCTGCAGATCCTTCCTGTGGGCCAGAATTTTCCCACTCATGGCCTAGAAAGTCCATTCAATCATAGTTCTTCTATTGCTTAGACAAGCAAGTTTATTTACATTTTCAGGAGCTAATGCTGTCCACTTCTTGTTTACAGTGTCATCTGAGAGCGAGACCAGGCATTTGTATGGCACTTGTATAGCTGGTGTTACAAGGTATTTACATGGCAGATATGCCAAAGATTTATATGTCCCTTCATACATCAACCACTATTCCAGAGGGCATGCGTCCATACTGATGATGGGTTTTGCTAGATAATGATCCAAGTTGTGCAGTTTCACCATCTGAGCTAGCTGCCACCAGCCAAAAGTTTATTTTTCTTTGAGGTGGGTCAGGTTCTGTAATTTCCATATAGGAATGCTGCACTTTTAAGACTCGTGAAAGCATGCTCCACTCTTACCAGAATTTGGAAGGCATTTTAGATTCTTAAACCTTGGGTGAAGTGTTGTCACTATCTTTAGAAATTTCACATAGATATCTTCATTGTATTTTGTCAAATTGGCAGTGAAAGTGTTCTTAAAATGAGCAATATGTGCCGGATCATCACCCGAGATTGCTATAAGTGACATAAATGGCAGAGTGTGGGTAAAACAGCAAGAAGCATTTGATAGCAGCCTTCAGCTTCCTGAAGGGAGGTTCCAAAGAGTATGGAGAAAGGCTGTTCTCAGTAATGACAGATGGCAGAACAAGGAGCAATCATCTCAAGTTATGGTGGGGGGGCTCTAGGTTGGATATTAAGAAAAACTATTTCACTAGGCGAGTGAGGAAGCACTGGAATGGGTTACCTAGGGAGGTAGTGGAACCTCCATCCCTAGAGGTTTTTAAGTCTCAGCATGACAAAGCCTTGGATGGGTTGATTTAGTTGGAATTGGTCCTGCCTTGGGCAGGGGGCTGATGACCTCCTGAGGTCTCTTCCAGCTCTATGATTCTATGATTGTAAGCAACCAATTCTCCCCAAGGAGTTCAGCCATAAATTTAATTAATGCATTATTTTTAACAAGTGTTGTCAGCATAGAAGTGTGTCCTCTGGAATGTTGGCTGAAGCATGAAGAGGCATGCAGACGTTTAAATGTTTGTATCTGGTGGGTAAATACCTTGGAGTGCCAGCTACAACAGAGCCCTGTAAATGACTGTTCTCTTTCAGGTGACATTGTAAATGAAGAGAGGACAGCATTATCTCCTATCAATCCCATTCCTAAGGGAGTGCGGCCCAGTCCACCCCCCTCCAGTGTCCCAGGACAACTTCCCTTGCCACAGGCCCTGACCCTGTCCCACCTCTGTTTCACCCCCCACTCTGCCCCATTCCGTCCCTTGCTCCAAGCTCTCCTCCTGCCCCCGCTCTACCCCTTCTACTTCTATTGCATCCCTTTCCCCAACCCCACTCCCACACATCCAAAACCAGGAGATTCCTGGTGGGCCTTGTGCAGGGCAGCATCAAGGGTTGGCCGTCTGCATTCTCTACGGTGGAAGGAGCTGGAGCTACCCAGGAGCCGGAACTACCCAGCTACCTGCTGTGCTCCACTGCCCTCTTTCAGCCTGCTGTGATCTGCTTCATTGCTACAGTGGGAAGAGGAGTACCCTGGTCCCAGCCTGCTCCTCTGGAAGGGCTTGGGGGGAACAGGCTGGGGCTGGAGTGTAGTGGAGTGCAGTGAGCTGGGAGATGGGTGGGATGGCAGAGCAGATAAGGCTGCTGGGTTGCTCTGGCTCCCAACACTGTGGTAAGGTCAGGGGGCCCCCAGCTCCTCCTGGCACCCCATGCCAGGTGTGACGTAGTGGGGGTAATTGCTGGGCTGTGGTGACCTCTGCTGTCTGGAGCAAGACCCAGCAGGGAAAACCTCGCTAGGCAGAGATAAGGCCAAACTGGTTGAACCAGTGGCCAGACACCCCCATGGAGAGGAACAAAGGAAGGTGGAATGCTGCCCTGACTGCGGGGGCAGGGCTGGAGGGGAATTTAGTTAGACTGTGGAAGAGCATGGAGGAGAGCCTAGGGGAAGGGGCTGGAGTTTAGGGGCCCAGTCTCCCCCATCTCAAGGGGGCCTGAGGCATCCTAGCCCAGTTCCTGTAACCAGATTACATCTGTGCTGCGCTGTGCTGGAGGAGCAATAAACCACCCTCAATTCCACTGGCTGGTGCAGTCTGTTTGTGCCATTTCGGGGTGCAGGAGACGGGGAACCCCCAACGCGCCGTCACACCAGGTCCCTCAGGTAATGCCCTAGGCCACCCTGCTCCCTGTGGCTAACATGGGGGACCATTCCATCCAGAGGGTGATTGAGGGAAAGATGGGACAGCTCTGTCTCCTGTAAACATAAACAAACTTTTTAAAAAGCGATTGGCTGTACAAAAGGTGGAATGAAGAGGACATGCAAGCTCAGAAGTTTTACATTGTTTTGGTTTTGAGGACAGTTATGTAACAAAAGAAATCTACATTTCTGAGTTGCACTTTCAGGTTAAAGAGATTGTATTACTATGCTTGTAGGAGATGAATTGAAAAATACAAATTCTTTTTATATTTTTCAGTGCAAATATTTGTAATAAAAATAATATAAAGTGAGCACTACACACTCTGTATTCTGTGTTGTAATTGAAATCAATCTATTTGAAAATGTAGAAAAACATCCACAAATATTTAATGTATTTCTATTAGTATTTTATTGTTTAACACTACAATTGTAACTACAGTGACTCATGAGTAATTCTTTAATCATGATTATTTTGAGTTAATCACATTGAGTTAATCAACAACCCTACTTTATAATCATTTTTATTATTAAAGAAAACATTCTCATGGCTAGCTCTCATATCAGATATGTAATCATGGCTAACAGGCAAGCTTTGCCTTTCTGGTGGAGTCCATTTTGCCAGAGGAGAAAAATTGCCACCGTGGTCTTCTTCCCACATCTTTAGGTAGCCTTTTAGATATCTTAGGCCAGGCCAAACAGCACTTTGATTATGACTGTTACCTTGAACTTTATTCCATTGTTGTGTGGGATGCCAGGTTAGAGAGTGGAGGATAGGTCTGGTGTGGTGCTTGAATACTCTGTTGCTGAGAAGACGCACTACATGCTCTGTAGTGGTTGGCGTTTCCTTAACACGGAAGGATTTATGCCAGTCATATCACATAACTGTAGTCCAGTCAAGAGAATAATTGAAGTCCGTTCATCTTTTGCCAAGATGCGACAGTCTCTTCTAGCTCCCTGGAGATCCTAGAAAGTGTTACTTGTCCAAGAAGATGGGAATGGATGTCTGTCTTTTATCCATTGACTGAGGGAAATTATCCATCAGTGGCAATAATGCAGTTTCAGTTCCATCTCCTGCCCTGAATCCAGATTGAACCAGGTCTAGAATATTAATGCATGTTAGCTGAGATTGTGGTTGGTCTTTAGATAGTTGGTTGGTAGTAGACGGCGTCTATATTCCCTGTGCTTACTTGGAATCTGGAGTTTGACTTTGGGTAGTAAATGGTTCAATCTGATGTATTCGGGGTGGGTTTTTTGATGTTGGTCATGTGATGTGTGTTTGAAGAAAGAAGGGTAGATGAGCTCTTTGTCTGAAGCAATGGCTATTTTTATCATGAGTAGCACCAGGTGTTCATGATTCTTTCACAAGTCAGGAAGGGCCTGGATATGATTCACAAGTCTTGTGTAAGAACTTTTTTAGAGTGTCCTTAACTGCTTGATGAGTGAATGCTATGAAGAGAAGGGAGACTAGCATTGGTGTCATCCAGAAAAATGTCAGTGATGCAGGCTATACTGGGTGCTTCATCACTGACTGGGTGCTTTAGTCTCTTGTGAATTGTTCCATGTGTTCCTCAGGTACGCTCTTAGGAACCTGACCTGGAATATAACTATTGAATCCCTTATGAGAACAAGAAATCCTTATCTTAAATTATCTGAATGCTTTATCAGCAGTGGGCAAGCTAGGCTAGTGAGTGGCTGTAAGAATGGCCCTTGTTGTCTTAGTTGGCTGCAAGATTGTCATAATCAAGATGGTCTCCTGAGTTAGGCTAGTTTTGCTAATTGTGCTTGCATGCCTAGAATTTGCAGGCTGTGCCAGTTGAACCATACCAGTGCTTTGTTTAGATGCAGAGAAAGTATACTGTTCTCATAGTCAGTGCTCTGTGCAATCAGCACACACCTCACTTCATGTGTGCTTTACCTGTGTGTCACTTTAGTAATGCCAGTAGGAAAAAACATATGTGGATGGAAAGCGAAATCTGGCTCCATGTGAGCCACTGTAAACAAAGTGTTTTGTGGGCTACACATAAAACCCAGATGTGCTGCATGTGGCCTGTAGGCCGCAGTCAGCCCATCACTGTGCTTTATTTTCTGTATGACGGATTGCTCTCATTGGAACATCACTGTTATGCTTCATAATTCTGTAATGTTGTCCAAGGGAGCGCTTAACCCTGGCTTACAGAAATCAACAGGAATCTTTCTCCTCTTTCATCAATTGGTGAGCCCCCAGGGCATTAAAATTACAATGTATATTAGTTTCACAACATTCTGTCTATTTAATAAAATATCATATGTTCAAAAATAAAACACAAGGTCAAGCAGACATTTAGGCCAATTTCTTTCTCCTTCTACATGCTTAAAATTAGGCACCTATATTTTAAACACTTAAATAAGTTTGAAGAGTTATTATAGGCAAAAATCTCCATGAAGTCAGTCGGGAAACATGAAACATGTTCCTGAGCATCATGTCCCATATTTCTATTTCTAATTATGCATTTCATTAACTTACTTGAAGCACACAACGTTGTAAAAAATTGCCTAAGTGCCTTTCCAAATGTCATACACAGGAGTTTTGTGGCAGGGCTGAGAAGAGAATTCATCCAGATCTCTAGACTCCAGCTCATAAAACTTTTCATAGGTCATTTTAAACAAAAATCCAAAATGGGAAAGGGTTTTGCACTTATGTTTTAATCCTGAAAAATGTTTAGTCTTATCATGAAAGCGTGCTGTGCGTTTTCAGCGTCGCAAATGGTTGACTTTCTTTGCTCTCTAGAGAGGAAAAACAATGTTATGTCTGTTGAAAACAGAAAGTCCACACAAGATTTCTCAGGGGACTGCGAAGTGTTACATCATATTAATCAGAATATTATTTAATGGCACGTTAATCCTCCAGTCAATGACTTCCATTGTATTGAATCAACTGGTTGGTATCTCGGAGACAGATATATCGTAACACAAAAGCACAGGGCGACTTTGCAGTTTCCCATAGTGACTCGACCTGTTCGCTCTGTTTTACTGCATTCCCCAAAGACCTGTCTTGACTGTCTAGCTGCCGGCCGCTTCCATAACCTAGATCCTCCGAAATGGATCCGGAGGAAGAAGGCAGCTGCACTCCCCCTCTTCCCTCAGGACGCGATTCATTCAGCGCTGCAATTCTCTCACTGAGGCTCCGAGTGCCGCTGTCGGCCAATGCGGAGCCAGGCTGCAGCCTGGATCCACCGGCGCCTCCCATTGTGGGGAAGCGCAGGTCTCGGGGAAGGAAGGCGGAGGCACAGCGCTGCTTCCACAGAGAGTCCTTCCGCGCAATCGGATTTCTGGGGTAAAATTCCGCTCAGAGATGGGCTTTCGTTTTGCTTTATGACCGAGGATCCTCACAGGCTGATCGGGTCGGAAGCAGGCGCCGAGAGTGGCTGAGATGGAGACCAGGCGCCGGGCGGCCCCACGGCAAGTACTGCTCCTCGCCTGCTTCTTCCCTTTGCTCTGCCGCGCGGCCCCGGAGCAGACTCGCTACTCGATCCCCGAGGAAATGGCCAAAGGCTCCCTCGTGGGGAACCTCGCCCAGGATCTGGGGCTGGAGCTGAGGGAGCTGCCGCTGCGGAAGCTCCGTGTCAGTTCGGAACAGCAGCACTTCAGTGTGAATGGGGAGAACGGGGACTTGTCTGTGAATGGCCGCATAGACCGGGAGGAGATCTGCGGGGAGACTCCGCTTTGTGTGCTGACGCTGGAAACGGTGGTGGAAAACCCTCTGAACGTTTTCCATGTGACTGTAGCGATCCAGGACATTAATGATAACGCCCCGCGGTTCCTTAAAAATAACATCGCTTTAGACATTAATGAATTCGCACAGCCTGGTGCGCGATTTCCGCTGGACCCTGCTCAGGATCCGGATGTAGGAACCAACTCCCTACAGAGCTACCGGCTTAGTTCCAACCCCTATTTTGGTCTGGAAGTGAAGGAAAATCCGGACGGCAACAAATACGCAGAATTAGTGCTGCAGAAACCGTTGGATCGGGAAAAAGACAGATCCCTTCATTTAGTCCTTGCCTCTGTGGACGGCGGAGCACCAGTGAAAACCGGGACAGTTGAGATTAATATTAACATCACTGATGCTAATGACAATCCCCCCATGTTCCCTGAAAAACTGTACAAAGTCAGCGTGAGAGAGAATCTTCCGAAGGGCACGTTGGTGCTGCAAGTGAAAGCCACGGATGCCGATGAAGGTACAAATGCGCAAATCACCTATTATCTCAGCAACCTGCCGCAGAGCGCGCAACGACTCTTCGCCTTGGACCCTGGAAATGGGCGGATCACAACACAGGGCACGCTGGACTTTGAAGAAAAAAGCAGCTACACAATTGGCGTGGAAGCCCGGGATGGGGGCGGTCTGACGGGCCACTGCAAAGTTCAAATAGAAATTCTCGATGAGAACGACAACGCCCCTGAAGTGACGCTCACATCCGTGTCCAGTCCCGTTCCCGAAGACTCGGTGCCCGGGACAGTGATCGCGCTGATCAAAGCCCGGGACCCAGACGATGGAGGAAATGAAGAAGTCACGTGTCGCATTCAAGATAATCTGCCGTTCAAAATAGTGTCCTCCTCCAGTAACTACTACAAGCTGGTGACGGTCAGCACCCTGGACAGGGAGCGGGCCCCGGAGTACAACATCACAATCACGGCCACAGACAAGGGCTCCCCCCCGCTCTCCACCCAGAAAACCATCCTCTTGCAGATCTCGGATGTCAATGACAACGCCCCTGTCTTCGAGAAACCTTCCTACAGCGCCTACGTGCCCGAGAACAACCCCTCGGGGGCCTCCATTTTCAGTGTCAAAGCTTCAGACCGGGATCTGGACGGCAACGCCCGGGTCACTTACTCCATCCTGCGCAGCAGCATCCAGGAGCTCCCTGTCTCCTCCTACGTGTCCATCAACTCCCAGACCGGAGCGCTGTACGCGCAGCGCTCCTTCGACTACGAGCAGTTCCGGGCGTTCGAGCTGCAAGTGAAGGCCCAAGACGGCGGGTCGCCGCCTCTCAGCAGCAACGTCACCGTCAGCGTGTTTATCCTGGATCGGAACGACAACGCCCCTCGCATCCTGTATCCCTCGCTCGGGCCCGAGGGCTCGGCCGTGTTCGAGATGGTCCCTCGCTCTGCCGAGGCGGGTTATCTGGTGACGAAGGTGGTGGCGGTGGATGCGGACTCGGGACACAACGCCTGGCTCTCCTACCATGTGCTGCAGGCCACGCAGCCGGCGCTCTTCCGGCTGGGGCTGCACAGCGGGGAGATCCGGACCGCGCGCGCCTTTGCGGACAGAGATGCGGTGAAGCACCGGCTGGTCGCCCTGGTGAAGGACAACGGGCAGCCGCCTCTCTCCGCCACCGTGACTCTGAGCCTGGTGTTCGCCGAGAACTTCCAAGAGGCTCTTCCGGAAATGAGCGACCGGTCGGCTGAGTCGGCGCCGCAGTCTGATTTGCAGTTCTACTTGGTGTTGGCCTTGGCCTTGGTCTCGTTTCTCTTCCTCCTGACGGTGACACTGGCCATTGCGATGAGATTGCGGCGGTCAGGAAATCCCCAGTTACTTCAGTGTTTTGGTCCTGAGCCTTATTCCAAGACGGGCTCCATGTTCCCACCAAACTATGAAGATGGGACTTTGCCTTATTCCTACCAGCTGTGTTTGTCCTCGGACTTAAAGGGGAATAACTGCACCTTCCTGAGACCCAGTGCACAGGTAGCGGAGCATGTTCTGCGCAGTGAGAGCTCTGGGATGTCACTAGTGAGCAATGGATGTAGCGTCTTAAAATCTGAAACAGAGACTACTGACATGGTAAGGTTCTGCTGCTGTGGTTTATGTGATTTTTAGATTTATTACTTGTTTTCACAATTGTCCAAGGCTAGTGTTCCTTAAATGTTATAGGAGAGCATTTTTAAACTGTTGGTTTTTTGTTGGGGATTTTCCGGCGCTGACTATTGCATTTTACAATCACAAAATTGCATGAGTCTGCTTTCACTTTACCCCATTTGGGTAAGTGGGTCAGTTTTATTCCCATTTTAGAGGGCACGAAGGACTAAAACAACCTGCTTACGGTCTGGAAGGAGAAGTAGGATGGAATAGATTAAGATTTAAAGTCCCCTCCATGAACAACCAACCACTCCATCCCGCATCTCCAATAATGAATATTCTTCCTTGCATTTCAGTGGATTTCTTCATGGTAGTTGCATTTTAGGAGCCTGTTTATACTTTCAGTGGGGTCTATCGCTTATTTTGGTAGGAAAAAATAGTAATTCCAATATGCTAACAATGTTTTAAAAATACTTTTTAAATTCCTTCTTTGTAGGTATTCCTTTTTTGCTGTTCCATGAGAAATTACATAGTTCTTCCTGAATATAAAAAGATCATGTTAGTTGTTTTAAGTGACACATCTCTTTCATTTTACAGATACACGAAGGGTACGTCTGCACAGGCCCCTTCTTCAGAAGAGGCATGCTAATTTCTAACTTTGGAATAGGGTAGGAATAAGACATCCTCCGGAAAAGGGCTTTATTCCGGAGGATCATGCCAGTCTGGACGCTCTTTTCCGGCTTTTCCCCAAGCTGGAAAAAAAAGCGGCGGACATGTTTATTTAAATCCCGCGGGGGATATTTAAATCCCCCGTGGATTTCCCTATTCCAAAGTTAGAAATTAGCATGCCTCTTCCGAAGAAGGGGCCAGTGTAGACGTAGCCAGACACTTGTGTATCTATCAACTACACCAAAACCCAGTGGGAAGATTGCGTTGATATGGCTTTGTAACCGGAATTAGTTGCTTGTGGCAAAATCACGAGTGAAGTATTCACGTCACTCTAGGTAATAAGAAAATCTTTATGCCAAACCTTCCTATAACCTATGTGTACCATAGATATTGTTGATATACTTTTTGAAGTATTTGAATAGAAGCTATGTAAGGTTCAATAGCTTCAAATCATTTAGTGCCCTAGATCAGTTTCTGTGCCATGAAAGAGATAGACACCTCTCCTTTTCAGTGACATAGCAATTCTATTTCTTCAGCATCACTGTTATATAATTAAAGAAAGCCTAATTGTGCCGGGAACCTCTATAATTACAAGGGGACTTTGCATAGTTAGGATATGAAAGGTGTATTCTTCTGGGAGTTGCTGTTATGTCAGCTCTTCAAACCTCAACCATGGATTGGAATGCTGGGTGTTTTCCAGGGCAGAGCACTGGTGATAGATTGCGTCGGATTGTGTACATTCCCAAAATGTCTCTGCATAGTTGGGGCATATGTAATGCTGTTGCAGTACAAAGGAGTCCATAGCTTCTTCTACTACTAGATCTTCTGAAACTTAATGTGTATATTGCCAGAAAAAAATGCTGAATACATTTTTAATATTTTTAATATCACCCATTTAAGACAGTGCCTACACAGACAACTTTCCCAGCTTCTCTTTAGTACTCATATGTCATCCATTAATAGATTTGAGGCCAGAAGGTCTTTTTTATCATAGAATCTGGCTTTGCCTATAGTATAGGCAATGGCGCTACCACACAATAATTACTAGAGCATATCATTTGGAGAAACATCCAATCTTAATCTAAAGATGGTCCATGATGGACAATGTACCACGTCCTTTGGAACCGTTGGACTCTTGCTACATTGTTCCAGTGGTTAATTCTTCTCTCTATTGAATATTTACACCTTATTTCTGATCTGATTTTGTCTAGCTTCAACTTCCAGCCATTAGCCATTAGACTCAAGGAGACAGGTTTTCCAATCTTTTAATTATTCTCATGGCTCTTCTCTGACCAGTCTCTAATTTATCAACATTGTTCTGGAATTGTTGGCACCAAAACTGCACATAGTGTTCCAATAATAGTCACAACAGTACCAGGTAGTAAAATAATCTCTCCGTTTTGAGATTCCCCTCTTTATGTATCCCAGGATCATACTGGTTCTTCTCGTTTCTTTTGGGTATGAGAATGAGTAGAAATACACAATGAAGAAATTGCCGTGAGTCCCCTACTTATGATTAACTGCTTAATTCAACCTTTCAGAGAGAATCTTTTAATTCTTCTTTGTTCTATACCTATCTCATAGAGTTAGAAAGGACCTAGAGAGGTCATCAAGTCCAGTCCGCTGCCCGTTGGGTAGGATCAAGTACTATCCTTGACAGATTTGCTCTATTCCTAAATCCCCCGATGGATAGAACTCACAACACTGGGTTTAAGCAGGCCAATGCTCAAACCACTGAGCTATCCCTCCCCTCTTTTTAAAGAATTAAATTTGAAACTTATGTGGACAGACATAGATTAATACCTAAGTGAAATATGTTGGTGTAATGGTCGCTTAGTAACAGATTTGTCTGACTTGCTCTGACATCACAGATTGTCTGACTTTAGATTTGCATCATGGGAAAGCTGTTGCATGCTGGGCTTTTCGAAGAACATTCCCATGATTCTAGGGATGCTCATGTAATCTGATGAGGTTCAACAAGGACTCTGCACTTGGGATGGAAAAATCCCAAGCATTGTTACAGGCTGGGGACCAACCAGGTAAGTAGTAGTTCTGCAGAAAAGGACCTGGGGGTTACAGTGGATGAGAAGCTGGATATAAGTCAACAGGGTGCCCTTGTAGCCAAGAAGGCTAATGGCATATTAGGTTGCATTAAGAGGAGCATTGCCAGCAGATCCAGAGATGTCATTATTCCCCTTTATTCGGCTTTGGTGAAGCCACATCTTGAGTATTGTGTTAAGTTTTGGGCCCCCCACTATAGAAAGGATGTGGGTGCATTGGAGAGGGTCCAGCGGAGGGCAACCAAAATGATTAGGGGCCTGGAGCATATGACCTATGAGGAGAGGCAGAGGGATTTGGGCTTGTTAAGTCTGCAGAAGAGAAGAGTGAGGGGGGATTTGATAGCAGCCTTCAACTTCCTGAAGGGAGGTTCCAAAGAGGCTGGAGAGAGGCTGTTCTCAGTGGTGACAGATGACAGAACAAGGAGCAATGGTCTCAAGTTGTGGTGGGAGAGGTCCAGGTTGGATATTAGGAAAAACTATTTCCCTAGGAGGGTGGTAAAGCACTGGGATGGGTTACCTAGGGAAGTAGTGGAGTCTCCATCCCTAGAGGTGTTTAAGTCTCGGCGTGACAAAGTCCTGGCCTGGTTGATTTAGTTGGGATTGGCCTAGAGCAGGGGGCTGGACTTGATGACCTTCTGAGGTCTCTTCCAGCTCTATGGTTCTATAATTCTATGATTCTATGTATGGAACGCATAACGGTTCCTCTGGACTCCTTTTATTTTGGTTCTTGGGATTTATGAGGAAACGTAGCTTTTAGGGGCAGTGTCACTTAAAGGAGTAGGATCTTCTTCATCTTTCTTTTGCAGTTGTGGAAACAGGCTCTGCGTTCTTAGTAGGCAGATTTATTTTTTAAGAAGCTTAAACTGGATGATATATACCTAGGTGTGAAATGGGTTTTATATGCAGCCTCACTAGTATATAAACCCACAATGGTTCCTGCTCTTCTCATTCAGAAAATAATTCTCTCAAAAATATTGCATAATTACAACTTGCTGGAGGTGTGAATGTGGATATTTGAGGACTGTGATACACAAACGAGAGCTCTTTGCAAGTGTTGGGAAGTTGTTGTTTCTACTCATTTCATACGGGTTGCAAATAATAACTATAAATCATCCGTATACATGCTTAGATTCACCAGACAGCTATTTGTCTTACTGCGAATCAAACGTATCAGCTTGCAGAAACCGACTCGATTTCAGGCTATAACTTCCACATACAGAGCAATAGCTACAAAGAAATGGAGACTATATTTATAGTTCCGCTCTGGAATGAAGTAATTAACAGTGAGCAGCGAAAGCAACCTGCTTCCGAGCGCATTCTTCCCATTATTACAAAGTGGCACGTTAATAAAAATAAATACAAACGGATTGAGCTGCGCCGGCGCCGTGATGGGACCGCGGCTGCTGCAGTTCTGGGCTGAGGCTCCGAGTGCCGCTGTTGGCCAATGCGGAGCCGGCGCTGCAGCCGGGATCCACTTGCGGCTCCTGCCTGCGCTTGCTCCGTCACACGGCGCCGGGCGGGGCGGGGAGAAAGCAGCGGAGGGACCTGCCCAAGGCGTCCGGCAAGAGGGAGCCGCCGCGGAGCGCTCTGCCCCGTAGCAAACCCCCGGCTCGGTTTGCGCTACGTGAGCGCGCCTCTCGGCACCGGGCGGGGGGCGCCGCATGAATGGGAACGGAGAAGGCAGCAAGGACGGGGCGAATCTGACAGCGACCGGGATGGAGACCAGGCGCCGGGCGGCCCCACGGCAAGTACTGCTCCTCGCCTGCTTCTTCCCTTTGCTCTGCCGCGCGGCCCCGGAGCAGACTCGCTACTCGATCCCCGAGGAAATGGCCAAAGGCTCCCTCGTGGGGAACCTCGCCCAGGATCTGGGGCTGGAGCTGAGGGAGCTGCCGCTGCGGAAGCTCCGTGTCAGTTCGGAACAGCAGCACTTCAGTGTGAATGGGGAGAACGGGGACTTGTCTGTGAATGGCCGCATAGACCGGGAGGAGATCTGCGGGGAGACTCCGCTTTGTGTGCTGACGCTGGAAACGGTGGTGGAAAACCCTCTGAACGTTTTCCATGTGACTGTAGCGATCCAGGACATTAATGATAACGCCCCGCGGTTCCTTAAAAATAACATCGCTTTAGACATTAATGAATTCGCACAGCCTGGTGCGCGATTTCCTCTAGAACCTGCTCAAGATCCCGATGTTGGAGCTAATTCGCTGCAGAGCTACCAGCTCAGTCCAAATTCATGCTTTTACCGGCTCAGCGGGGACCCGCATTTCTCCCTGTCTGTGAAGGAGAGCCCGGATGGAAACAAATACCCAGAGTTAGTGCTGGAAAAGGCTTTGGATCGGGAAACGCAGCAGTCCCATCGGTTGGTCCTGACGGCCGTGGATGGGGGGGAGCCGGTCAGAACCGGGACGGCTCAGATTAGGGTCAATGTCACTGACGCCAATGACAATGCCCCCGAATTTTCCGAGGAGATTTACAGAGTGAGCGTGAGGGAGAACGTGCCGAAGGGCTCCCTGGTGCTTGAGGTGAAAGCCACGGACAAGGATGAAGGGCTAAATGCCCAGATCACGTACTCCTTCGGCAACACTCCGGAAAACGCTCTTAAAATATATCAGTTAGACCCTGAAAACGGAAGAATTACAAATATAGGGAATCTGGATTTTGAAGAGACACACAAATACACGCTGGGAGTAGAAGCCAGGGATGGAGGTGGCCAGACTGCTCAATGCAAAGTTCAAATATCAATACTTGACGAAAATGACAACGCACCAGAAATGACATTCAGATCTGTCTTCAGTCCCATTCCCGAAGACTCGGTGCCCGGGACAGTGATCGCGCTGATCAAAGCCCGGGACCCAGATCGTGGGAAAAACGGAGAAGTGACGTGTCACCTGCAACACAATTTACCTTTTACAATAATATCGTCTTCCAGTAGCTACTACAAGCTGGTGACGGACAGTCCCCTGGACAGGGAGCGGGCCCCGGAGTACAACATCACAATCACGGCCACAGACAAGGGCTCCCCCCCGCTCTCCACCCAGAAAACCATCCTCTTGCAGATCTCGGATGTCAATGACAACGCCCCTGTCTTCGAGAAACCTTCCTACAGCGCCTACGTGCCCGAGAACAACCCCTCGGGGGCCTCCATTTTGAGCGTCAAAGCCTCAGACCGGGATCTGGACGGCAACGCCCGGGTCACTTACTCCATCCTGCGCAGCAGCATCCAGGAGCTCCCTGTCTCCTCCTACGTGTCCATCAACTCCCAGACTGGAGCGCTGTACGCGCAGCGCTCCTTCGACTACGAGCAGTTCCGGGCGTTCGAGCTGCAAGTGAAGGCCCAAGACGGCGGGTCGCCGCCTCTCAGCAGCAACGTCACCGTCAGCGTGTTTATCCTGGATCGGAACGACAACGCCCCTCGCATCCTGTATCCCTCGCTCGGGCCCGAGGGCTCAGCCGTGTTCGAGATGGTCCCTCGCTCTGCCGAGGCGGGTTATCTGGTGACGAAGGTGGTGGCGGTGGATGCGGACTCGGGACACAACGCCTGGCTCTCCTACCATGTGCTGCAGGCCACGCAGCCGGCGCTCTTCCGGCTGGGGCTGCACAGCGGGGAGATCCGGACCGCGCGCGCCTTTGCGGACAGAGATGCGGTGAAGCACCGGCTGGTCGCCCTGGTGAAGGACAACGGGCAGCCGCCTCTCTCCGCCACCGTGACTCTGAGCCTGGTGTTCGCCGAGAACTTCCAAGAGGCTCTTCCGGAAATGAGCGACCGGTCGGCTGAGTCGGCGCCGCAGTCTGATTTGCAGTTCTACTTGGTGTTGGCCTTGGCCTTGGTCTCGTTTCTCTTCCTCCTGACGGTGACACTGGCCATTGCGATGAGATTGCGGCGGTCAGGAAATCCCCAGTTACTTCAGTGTTTTGGTCCTGAGCCTTATTCCAAGACGGGCTCCATGTTCCCACCAAACTATGAAGATGGGACTTTGCCTTATTCCTACCAGCTGTGTTTGTCCTCGGACTTAAAGGGGAATAACTGCACCTTCCTGAGACCCAGTTCCCAGGTAGCGGAGCATGTTCTGTGCGGTGAAAACTCGAGGACCTTACTTCTGAACAACGGATGTAGTGTCTTAAAATCTGAAACGGAGACTACTGACGTGGTAAGGTTCTGCTGCTGTGCTTTATGTGATTTTTAGATCCGTGACTTGTTTTCACAGTTGTCCAAGGCTAATGTTCCTTAAATGTCAGAGGTAACAGAGAATATTCTGTACAGAGACAGCTCTAGGATGTCATTTATGGGCAAGGGATGTAGCAGTGTAAGTGATGAGACGGGGTCTGCTGGGCTGCAGAGCTTTATGCTTTACGTTGTGGTTTTGCAGAATACCGGCTTTTATTATGTAAATGACTTGCTCATTCTCATATTTTCCATGGTCTGAAAATATGAATGAGTTTTCAAGGTAGAGAAACTTATGTTTACTTCACATAAGTGTGTGAGGTAGCATGGGATCTCAGAACGGAACCCTGTTAATCTGTAACTTTGTAAACCACCAATAGTTCTGTGGCACCTTAGAGACTAACTAACATATATAGAATCATGAACTTTCATGAACAAAATCCATTCCATCTGATGAATCAGAGTGGAAATAGCAGAAACAACCATAGTACCTTTTAATTTCTCCTGTCTTTAACATTTACATTTCCACATCAAAAGCTATGTATGGCACACAGGTAGTCCATTTATTTAGCCTCATTAACATGGGTCCTACAATTGACAGGTACTTCTGCTGAAACAAAAAAAAATCAATTACCACTTCTTCTGCCATTACCACATTTTCTGGTATTGTTTTCCCTCTTCTCTTTGTTGTGGGCCTGCCCTGTGCTCAGTTTTTCTCTTACTTCTAATGCTTAAAATGTTAGTGGGTATTGGCCAACTTAATCCAGTGAATGCCAGTGAAAATGGAGTAGAATCGGAGGCTAAAATATGGAAAGAGAACAAGGTAGAATTACTTAAACAAGTTAAATGAACTCAAGTCACCAGGACCTGATGAAATACATTGTAGATTACTTAAGGAGCTAATTGAGAAAACATCTGAGCCGTTAACAATTATCTGTGAAAATCCATTTAAGACAAAAGAGATTCCAGAGAACTGGAAAATGTTAACTCTAGTGCCAATCTATTAAAAAGGAAATAAGGACAATCTGGGGAATTACAGACCAGACATCTTAATTTCAGTACCAGGACACATAATGGAAATAATTAATCAGTTTGCAAACACCTAGAAGATCAGATGGTGATTGAGTAATGGTCAGCATGGATTTGTCAAGAACAAATTGTGTCCAACCAATGTAATAGCTTTTTTTGAGAAAGTAATGAGCCTTGTGGATGGGGAAAATGGTAAATGTGGTACATTTTGACTTTAGGGAGGCTACTAGTGTTTTGCATGGCCTTCTCATAAACAAACTAGGAAAATACAACCTAAATGTAGCTTCTATAATGCGGACTCGGGACACATTGTAATTTGCAATCAAGCTGGAAGGGCATATCTTGTGGGGTCTCTCAGGAACCAGTCCTACATCCAGTTCTGTCCCATATCTTCATCAAGTATGTAGATAGTAGCATATAGATTATATTTATAAAGTTTGTAAACAATAACAAGCTGGGGGCAGGGGAGATTGCAAATGCTTTGGAGGATATGCTTAAAAGTTACAATGATCTGAACAAACTGTGGAAACGGTTTAAAGCAAATAAAAATTCAATCAGGACAAATGTGAAGTACTCCACTGAGGAAGGAACAATCAGTAGTACACATATAAAATTGCTGATTGCATAGGGAGGAGTATTTAAAAAAAACTGAGGATCACAGTGAATCACAAGCTAAATATGAGTCATTGGTGTAACATTAGTACAAAAAAAAGCATTTAGGGATGCATTGGTCGGACTATTGTCAAGATACCAGAAGTAATTCTACTCTACAGTGATAGGCCTCCGCTGGAGTATTTTGTCCAGTTCTGGGTGATGCATTTCAGGAAAGGTGTGGACAAACTGGAGAAAGCCAAGAGAAGAGAAAGAAAAATAATTAAATTCTAGAAAACTATGATCTATGAGGGAAGATTGAAAATATTAGGTTTATTTAGTCTGGAGAAAACTGAAGAGGGGACATGACAGTTTTCAAGTACATAAAAGGTTGTTACAAGGAGAAGTGAAAAAAAGTGTTCTCCTTAATGTCTGAGGATAGACGAGAAGCAACAGACTTACATTCAGAAAGAGCACTTTAGGTTGCACATTAGCAAAAACTTCCTATCGTTTGATTGAGCACTGGAATAAGTTGCCTAGGGAGCTTGTGGAATCTCCATCGTTGGAGTTTTTAAGAGCAGGTGTGACGTAGTGGGGGTACCTGGCTGGTTTCTATGCTGCTGGCTCTGGGGTAACCCCCACTGGCTGCCGTGGGTACCACGACCCAGCAAAACAGGATGAGTCACTATGCAAACCAGTATGGCCAGACACCCTCCATGGAGAGGAACAAAGGAGGGTGGAATGCTGCCCTGGCTGGGGGGCAGGGCTGGAAGGGGGGTGGTTAGTTGCTGGCTGGAAGCATGGAGGAGACAGCCTAGGGAAAGGGGCTGGAGTTTAGGGGCCCAGTCTCCCCCATCTCAAGGGGGCCTGAGGCATCCTAGCCCAGCTCTGTGACCAGATTACATCTGTGCTGTGCTGTATCCTGGAGAGGCAATAAACTTCCTCTATTCCACCGGCTGGTGCAGTCTGTTTGTGCCATTTCGGGGTGCAGGAGATGGGGGACCCCCAACGCGCCGTCACACTGGTGTCAGAAGTGGGATGCACTGCACCCCGTGGATGGAGCTTCCAGCGGCGAGCGACAAGGCACCGTAGAAGCAAGAGCCCTGGAGCCAGGCGTGCTGGAGACAGAGCGAAGCGGTTCCTGGGAATCGTGGGGCGCTGCAGCACTAGACTGGTGAGTCTGCACCGTGGGGACCAGCGGGCAGATGGCCTACACCCGACTCTTGAAGGCAGAGCTGGTGGGGCTGTGCAGAGAGAGGGGCTTGGCTGTGCAGAAAGCAACCAAGGCCCAGCTGATTGCTCAGCTGGAAGAGAATGACCAGCCACAGGGCCAGGATCTTGTCCCCAGGGGAAGCAGCCAGACCCCCCTGAGAGTGTGTCAGGCTCAGAGAGGGGGAGGAGTGCTGGAACCCACTGGAGAGATGAGACAGCGTCTCCTGGGAGGCCTGCAAGCCGTAGCCCATCTAGGGCAGGGGCCAGCCCAGCGGAGCTGCGGCGGCTGGAGATCCAGCTGCGGATAAAGGAATTGGAAGCAGAGGACCAAGAGAGGGACCGCCAGGACCGAGAGAAGGAGCGCCAAGATCGAGAAAGAAACCAGCCAGGTACCCCCACTACGTCACAGCAGGTTAGATAAACACCATCAGGAATGGTCTAGATGATATTTAGTGCTGCTGTATGAGCAGGAAACTAAACTGGATGATCTCTCAAAGTGCATTCCAGTCTTATGATTCTATGATTGTATAAGATCTTAGGTTATAGCCACAAATAAAGTAAAATACACTTATTGCTTAGAAAAAGTTCAGATGTTTCCCATTATAGGGTTGTGTTAGACTATGGTGTGTTATAGAAATTTTATTGGCATAAGTGTTTATGATTTTATTCCTCAGCAGTGGCAGAGCCTGGGTATAGTTATGCTATGTAAGTGATAATAAAGTATTTATGCAACAGTCTTATTCATTCTGGGTATTCCACACAATTAAAGGGGAAAACACCTTTACAAATACTTGCAAGATTAAAAAAGTTGTAAGGCAATTTTTCTTTGAAGTTGTAATGCCAGATTTCTGTCAGCTACCCTGATCCAGTGTTAAGTGTTCATAAGCAGGTATGCAAATATTTAAAAATGTCATTTGAAAGCCTATGTCTACATACAAATGTCAAGTTTGGGGAAATTTCTTTGTGTCACTTTTATGAGTTATGAATAAGTTTTGAATCCCAATGGGAATATGAAACTCTCCTTTATAGTAACATAGATCTACCTAACAGCCCTTCAGGATCTCCAGGTAGTGAACCTTAGGCCTTGTCTACACTTATCAGTGCCACTGAAGTTGACATACTCACTGCAGCATCTTTTATTAGGTGAGGTTGGTGGGGGCTACTCTTCTCATCTTAATGGGGTACCTGGCATGGACAGGAGTACACCCAGAGATTGGTTTATCATGTCTAAATAGACACAAAAATTGACGGCCAGTAGATCGATTGCTACAGTGTTGAGGTAATCAGGGGCAGCCCGTCCGTATAGGCAACCTAGGTGGTCGCCTAGAGTGCCAAGTTAATGGGACGCCAAATGGTGGTGCAATATCATTGAGGGGTTTGGAGATGGGGGCGCTGATTGCATGGTTTGTGTAGGGCTGGAGTTGCTGGCAGCTAATCTAGGGCCACCCCTGAGCGTAATGAAGACAGGGCCTTAGAACTGTTCCTTGTTTTGTTACCATTTAAATATTTCTAGGTGTGGTGAGGAAGCAGAGTCCACATTTGGAGAGGGTAAGAAAATATTTCTCTCAAAACATTTCCATGTTGGAAGAGCTCAGTGATTTGGGACCTCTGAAGTGCTCCTGAAAAATTACGTTGCAGACAGATTGTAACTGAATGAATCTGTAAACTTGGAGTCATGACTTATGACTACAACAGCAGTTTTCAAACTGTGGGTGAGGACCCCCAAGTTGATTGTGACCCCATTTTAATGGGGTCATCAGGGATGGCATTAGATTTGCTGTAACCTGGGGCCGAAGCCCTAGTCTCATCACCGAGGGCCAAAACCCAAGCCTGAGTCACACTGCCATCAGCAGCAGGGCTCAGGATTTGGCTTTGATCCCCTCACCTGGGGTTCAGGCTGGCTCAGGCTTTGTTCCGTGCTTCTGGATTCATGTAGTAATTTTGTTGTCAGATGAGGCCGTGTGATGCAATGATGTGTGAGAACCCCTGGACTAGAAAATTGCTAATATACAGACCTATTTATACAAAAGGTGGTGGAGAGGTGATCCAGGATTCTAGAGGCCTTTTTGTTTGACCTCAACTGTATGCAAGGTTGTAGAACAAATTTTAAAAGAGAAAGTAAATAAGGACAGAGAGTTAAACAGCGATTAGGATGAAATACAATGAGATTTTATAAAAGGCAAATGAGATCATGCCAGATCAACTTGATCTCCTTCTGTAACGTAGTGGGGGGTACCTTGCTGGTTGCTATGCTGGGCAGTGGGTTGTGAGTGACCTTCACTGGCTGCTGGCTGCAGCACGGCCCAGCAGGGCAGGGGATGAGTCATTACGTAAGGGGGCTCCGAACCTGTCTGACCAGTGATCTCCCAGGGAGCGGAACAATGGGAAGAAGGAGAGTGGAGCCCTGGCTGGGGGTAGGGCTGGAAGTGAGGGAGTTAGGTTTCTGCTGGTTTCATGGAGGAAGCAGCCTAGGCAATGGGCTAGGATTTAGGGGCCCAGGCTCCCCCATCTCAAGGGGGGCTGAGGCATCCTAAGCCTGCCCTGTAACCAGATGACATCTGTGCTGTGCTGTATCCTGGAGAAGCAATAAACTCCCTCTGTTCTACCAGCTGGTGGAGTCTGTCGGGGCCATTACAGGGGTGCAGGAGACGGGAAAACCCCAATGCGCCATCACACCTTCTTGGAGAAGACAACCAAGTTTTTAAACAAAGGAAATGTGGTTGATCCAAGCTACCTGGATTTCAGGAAGGCATTTGATAGTTCTACATGGGAAATTATTACAGTGGAGAAGATGGCAATATGAGAATTGAAATGTGGATAAGGAAGTGTTTAATGGGGACACTAGAATGAGTCATATTGAAAGGTGAATTGTCAGGCTGGATGTCATCTGTTAGGGGAGTTCCTCAGAGATCAATTTTGGGAGCAATATTATTTAACATTTTTATTAATGATGTCAGCACCAAAGGCAGGAGTGTGCTAATAAAATATGAGACTGGCACAAGTCAAGATTGGGAGGTATTGACAAAATGGAAGTGGACTGGAATAACATATCTGAACATATGAATGACCTTTTGAAATTTAGAGAAATAGTAATGGGATTAAATTTAATAGTGTAAAGTGAAAACTCATGCACTTGGAGACTAAACAAGAATTTTGGCTGTAAGCTATGTATGTGTCAGTTGTATGTGACAGAGGAGGAGAATGGCCAGGTGTACTAACCAGTCAAACAGAGAGAGACTATGAGCCACCAAAATGATGTATCCATGAAAAAACTAATGCAATCTTATGACTCATCAGGTAAGGTGTTTCCTGTAGAAATATACACTGATACAAGACTCTGGAGAGACCTCATTTGGAATATTGGATGTAATTATCATATTCTATGATTAAGAAACATGAATTTAATCTGGAAGAGATGCAGGGAAAGGCTGTTTTGATAATCAGAGGAATGGAAGTCCTACACCAAGAGGAGATTCTGGAAGCGTAACTTGTTTAGTCTAACCAAAAGAAGGCTGAGGGGAAGATCTGAATGCTCTCTATAAATAAGTCAGAAGGATCAATACCAGAGAGGGAAACAGTTATTTAAATTAAGCACCCATGTTGGCACAAGAACAATAGACTATAACAAGCTTAGGCTTGAAATTTGATACTATTTTCCAGCGGTCAGAAGGCTGAAGTTCTAGAACACTCTGATTAGGGGAGTAGTGATGGCAAAAAACGTAGCTAGCTTCAAGACAGAGCTTGATAACTTTATGGAATCGAAGGTATGATGAGGTTGCCTACAATGGCAAGTAGTTTGTGCTCCATCAATGACTGTTAGTACCAAATATCCTCACTGGAAGGAGATGGTGCACTAGATGGGAAGGCTTTGAGTTACTACCAACACAATTTCCTCAGATGTCCAGCTGGTGGGTCTTGCCAACATGCACAACATCTAACTGATTGCCATATTTTGGGTTGGGAAGGAACTGGGTCAAATTGGCAGAGACCTTATGTGTGGTTCACCTACCTTTGCAGCATGGGGCATGGCATACTTACTGGTTTAACTAGAATTAATGGTGAATTCTCTTTAATTTGAACTCTAGATCATGGTGTGTGGTTTTTAGTAACTCACACAATGGTTATGGGTCTGTCAAAGGAGTGAGTGGCTGGCCTGCGATATTGCAAGCTGTCAGACTAGATGACCACAGTGGTTTCTTTCTGGCATTGAAGTCTGTGAAATTCAGTGACCCAAGATGTAGGATAAACCACTTAATGGAGTGATTTTCTTCACCACATGGGTAGACAGTCTGTCAAATTGCAATCGCTACCATATATGTTATATATCTGCATAACATCTGTATGTTGGGCATCTATACATAAATATCAAGTTTGTCCATTTCATATTTTACATTTCTGCGTTATTGGCATATTATCCCTCATCTGGTGGAATTGTCAATGAAACCTATCATTCTGTTCTCTTTTATTAACTGAATGTGAAAATCACAAGACTTGAAAATATATGGAGTACAGATTATTGTATATCACACATTTCAGAGATCTCATCCACAGACTGGCATTTATATTTTCTGTATTCCTATTTCATCCACTGAGCTGACAATGAACACGGTGGCTAAAATAGCAAATGTGGCCGAGTCAAAAATACCTGAAATGTGAACAAAATGTTACTTCATGCGTCAAGTGTGTATGTCAGGAGTCAGGTCCTAGAAAGGGAGCATTCGAATATAACAACTGAAGAACACAAAAATGAAATGCAAACGGATGGACGGTAAAACTGAAAGATTCTCTCTCGCTCGCGAGCTCTGTCTCTCTCTCTCCCCCCCATTTACCCATCCTGGTTCATACACAGAGATATGACGAATCTGGAAAATCCATACAGGGGATCTTTCAACAACACAAGCTTATTACCAGTAATTCCTTCAGAGATTCGCCACCGCCCAGCAGTTTGTTCCTTCCCGCGACGCTTATTTGCGACATTAAATACGACAGAAAACGACGGGTTTAAAACTTCCAGCGCGGAGCTGCAGTTATTGGCTGAGGCGCTGAGCGCCGCTGTTCACCAATCAGAGAGGGAGACGCGCCGAGCGATCCACCCCGCCCCGCCCGCAGCCGCAGAGCCCGGAGCGGATCCGGACCGCAGCACAGGGGAATATTCGGGGAAACTGGCCTTGGTTTAACAGCTGGTGTTTTCGGAAGCGTTTGCTCAAGGACAGAGCCCTTCGCTGAGCGAGAATCGGAGGCGTCTCCCGGAATGGCTGCGGCACCGCGGCTCCGGCGGAATCAGAGGCGAGCCCTGCTCTGCTGGATGCTGGTTACCTTTTGGGATGCGGTTTCTGGGCAGATTCGTTACTCGATCCCGGAGGAAACGGAGAGAGGCGCTTTCGTGGGGGACGTGGCAAAGGACCTGGGGCTGCACGCGGAGCAGCCCTCGGAGCGCGGAGTCCGAATCGTTTCCGGAGGTAGGACGCAGTACTTTGCTCTCAATGCGGAGAGCGGCCATTTGATCACCGCGGAGCGCATAGACAGGGAGCGGATCTGCGGCCGGGCGGGCAAGTGTCTGCTGAGCTGTGAGCTCATAGTGGAGGATACAATGAAGCTGTACGGAGTGGAAGTGGAAATCACGGACATTAATGACAACGCCCCCAGCTTCCCGACTGAAGAAATGGAGTTAAAAGTCAGCGAGACAACGGCGCCGGGATCTCGCATTCTCCTCCCAGAGGCGCAGGATTCAGATCTAGGGACTAATTCCATCCAGAGCTACCAGCTCAGCAGCGACGGGCATTTCTCACTGGATGTTCAGACGGGACCGGATGGAGTGAAACACGCGGAACTCGTCCTGGAAAAGTCCCTGGACCGGGAAGAACAAGCCGTTCACACGCTGATCCTCACGGCCACAGACGGGGGAGACCCGGTCAGGTCCGGCACCGCGCAGATCCGCGTTACTGTCCTCGATGCTAATGACAACGCGCCGGTTTTCAGTCAGCCTGTCTACACGGTGAGTGTGTGGGAAAATGTGCCGGCAGGGTCCACGATCCTTACAGTAAAAGCCACCGACCTGGATGAAGGAGTCAACAAAGAGATAAAATACTCATTCAGGAAAATCACAGACAAGGCTTCCCAAATATTCCGCCTGGACGCGAAGACGGGCGACATAACAGCAATGGGCAACGTGAACTTCGAGGAATCCGCGTTGTATGAAATCGAGGTGCAAGCGCAAGACGGGGGAGGCCGATTTGACAAATCCAAAGTTGTGATCGAGGTTAGCGATGTGAATGACAACGCCCCGGAAATCGCTGTCAGGTCCCTCGTAAGCGCGATCCCCGGAATGGAGAGGTCACGTGCTCCATCGCAGCCAATCTGCCGTTCCGCTTGCAGAAGACATTGGACAATTACTACAGCTTGGTGACTGACAGAGCCCTGGACCGGGAGCGGGTCTCGGGTTACAATGTGACGGTCACAGCCACAGACCGCGGGACTCCCCCGTTATCCTCCACCACAAGCATCTCAGTGCAACTTTCGGACATAAACGACAACGCGCCCGTCTTCAGCCAGACATCCTACACTGTGTCCATCCCCGAGAACAACCCCAGCGGGGCCTCCGTGTGCTCCGTGAGGGCCACTGACCGCGACTGGGGGGAGAACGCCCGAGTGACTTACTCTCTGCTGGAGGGCGAGGGCCGCGAAGCTCCGCTCTCCTCCGCCGTGTCCATTAACTCGGAGACCGGGGCTGTGTACGCGCTGCGCTCCTTCGACTACGAGCAGCTGCGGGAGCTTCGGTTCCGGGTGCAGGCTCGGGACGGGGGGTCCCCGCCGCTCCGCAGCAATGTCTCCGTCAGGCTCTTGGTGCTGGACCAGAATGACAACAGCCCGCACATCCTGCACCCCGCCTCCCCCAGCGATGGCTCCACGGGAGTGGAGCTGGCCCCTCGCTCCTCCGAGCCGGGCTACCTGGTCACCAAGGTGGTGGCGGTGGATGCGGACTCCGGGCAGAACGCCTGGCTCTCCTACCAGCTGCTGAAGGCCACGGAGCCGGGGCTCTTCTCGGTCGGAGTCCACAGCGGCGAGGTGCGGACAGCGCGCTACTTTGTGGACAGGGACGGCCTGAAGCAGAGCCTGGTGGTGCTGGTGAAGGACAACGGGCAGCCCCCTCTCTCGGCCACCGTCACTGTCACGGTGGCGGTGGCTGACAGCATCCCCGAGCTCCTGTCGGACCTGAGCAGCCTCTCGGCTCCCGCGCAGCCGCAGTCCGGCCTCACCTTGTACCTGGTGATCGCGGTGGCGTCCGTGTCCTGCGTCTTCCTCACCTTCGTCATAGCGCTGGTGGCCCTGCGGCTCCGGCGGTGGCGCGAGTCGCAGCTGTTGGACTCCTCGAGTGGGACTTTCAGCGGAGTTCCCGTCTCGCACTTCGTGGGCATCGATGGGGTCAGAGCGTTTCTCCACTCCTACTCCCAGGAGGCGTCGCTCACCGCGGGCTCCGGGAAGAGCCAGTTCAACTTCCCCCAGTCAAACTATGCAAACACTCTGACCAGCGAGCAGACGTGTGAGGTAAAGGATCCTTTCCTAATGGCCGAGGAGTTAGACAGTAACAGGGATCAGTCCAACATTCAGGTGAGCTAATATCTGTTTAATCTCGTGGTTTATATTTTTAAATGCAGGTTGCTGTTAATCTCTAAGAATTACTGAACACATCTAATCTAATCACCTAATAAAGCATCTTGTTAGTCTTTAAAGTGCTACATAGTCCTGTTTTTTTGTTTGTTTGTTTGTTTTTTAACACATCGAGTGTTTCGGGGGACTGTATTAGAGGGAGGGTTGGGCTCTGTCTTAGAGAGATTTCCTTGGTTATTATAGATGTTTTCAGTTAAGCCTTGATAATCCGAAGTGGATTCCATCGTGCTCTTCACTATTGTGTTTGGAATTAGTGTTGTCTTGAGAGAATTGGGCCTATACGTACATAGATTTATGTGATAATATTCACACTAGAAAACAGATTTTTAGAAAACAGATTTTTATGTGCCTTTTGCAGATCTCTTGAAATGGTGATTTGTTCAAAATTTGAGTCTGTCTTTAATTTGTGATATTATATAAATTATGTTACCTGAGGTATTAGAAAGTAAAGACATTTTCCTATATTTTTAGAAATATAGATGATGGAACAGGAATGTTACAATAGGGCAAAATGTTTCAATATTAACTTATTTGATAAACCAAAATATTTAACTCCCAGAATGGTTTCCTCTGTCCTTCCGTACTACAAATAATACAGGGTAGTTATACACAATCAATGTTAATGTTTGATTAAGAAGAGCATTGAGCGTTTGGGAGAATTTGACGATACATTACACTAATATATTTTTGCTAGAAGACTTACCTCGGGATCCTTGAAGACCTTAACTCAGATAGGTTTTGTTTTTCTGTATTTAAATCGTTCTGGGGCGGGACTGAGGATAAGGAGTTCAGTCTGCAGGCTGTCCTGGGGAGAGTGGAGAACCCAGCTCTCTCTCACTACAGCATCTTGGGGCCAGGTAAGAAGCCTCTGTCCATGTCTTGTGCAGTGGGCACACCCAGGGGAGGGGTGCATGTCCCCTGGCTGGGGCACAGACAGACACGTAGACAAACAGACAAAGTCTCTGAAACGTATAGTAAAGGGGTGAGCAAATACCAGCCCACTGGCCTGATCTGGCCTGTCAGGGTTAGTCCACTATCGCTATATTTACCTTTGTCTCTGCAGGTAAAGGGCGACCACAATTCTCTTTGACCACAGATCACTATTCACGGCCAATAGGAAAGGCAGGAAGTGGTGTCCCCAGCCACATCACTTGGTGGCACTGACGTTTGCTGTGAACAGCGCTCTGTGGCCAACTAGAGCTGTGCTTGCTAACACCTGTAGAGGCATAGGTAAATATAGTGGCCCTCCAGACCTAACCCTGGTGGACCCCCAGTTTTTATTGCCCAGCTCTGTTATAGTAGACGGCTGTCCTTTTCTCCGCTCCTGCTCCTGCTGGCCAAATAGTGCTATAGCTGTTCCAGTCCCCATTTCTGGTCCCTTGCTGCTCCTCCCTCCCCCCGCCCGTCATTCTGCAGTATAACCGTCCCTCCTGCCAAACTCCTGTCTTTCTATTGTATGAGAAACAATTTAATTCCTGGCACAGCCAAACCCTGACCTGGCTTTAAGTTAGGAGAAGAGGAAGCGGCTTACCAAATTTGGAGGTCCTAGCTCTTACAGCTTACCATGAGTTCTTGAACAACCAGACTCACAGACAGTCTGTATATCCCTGGGAAGAGTTTGAATACACTGGCTCCTTAGAACTGCTTTTCCATTCATGTTTGGTATTTGGAATGTATGGGAAACTACTAACGTGTTCTTTTGCACGCTTCTATGACAGAAAGGACCTGGGTTTTAATTTTAAAAGATGAATGTTCTCGGTAGTTTTTTGGAACAGCCTGTGCATTCTGAGTGGGGTGATTACTCTCAAAGGAAAGATAAACTAAAAGGGACAATAAGGGCAAAACACAACCATGGTCCAGCTGTGCCGTTTACATTTATATTTTTCGCGTCATTGGGTTGAATACCCATTGCTTTTTCTCAAACAGTTTAGAAACGCGCTTTGCGGAATCTCGCCAGTAAGAGAATGTAGTTGCGGAGAATGTAGTTTATTCCATGCAAATTGTTGTCCTTGTATTTAATGGATGACACACACAGCGGGACGCACTGGTCCACATACACGCAAACAATTGTAAACAGGGGCAAAAAACTCTTGAGAACTGTTACCTTTTATCAGTAGATACAACACGCATATTGAAAACATGTCGAATTTCCATTTGGGCTCACGCTGGGAAACGCAGCCCTGTCAGCTTCTCGCAGTGCTTTTCCTAGGCCGCATGTCTTGCGCTACGTGCACAATAGGAGGAGAACACAAAACAAAACCAGCAAACCCCCACGATTGTCGCTAAGCTGCGCCGGCGCCGTGCTGCGACCGCTGCTGCTGCAGTTCTGGGCTGATGCTCCGAGTGCCGCTGTTGGCCAATGCGGAGCCGGCGCTGCAGCCGGGATCCACTTGCGGCTCCTGCCTGCGCTTGCTCCGTCACACGGCGCCGGGCGGGGCGGGGAGAAAGCAGCGGAGGGACCTGCCCAAGGCGTCCGGCAAGAGGGAGCCGCCGCGGAGCGCTCTGCCCCGTAGCAAACCCCCGGCTCGGTTTGCGCTACGTGAGCGCGCCTCTCGGCACCGGGCGGGGGGCGCCGCATGAATGGGAACGGAGAAGGCAGCAAGGACGGGGCGAATCTGACAGCGACCGGGATGGAGACCAGGCGCCGGGCGGCCCCACGGCAAGTACTGCTCCTCGCCTGCTTCTTCCCTTTGCTCTGCCGCGCGGCCCCGGAGCAGACTCGCTACTCGATCCCCGAGGAAATGGCCAAAGGCTCCCTCGTGGGGAACCTCGCCCAGGATCTGGGGCTGGAGCTGAGGGAGCTGCCGCTGCGGAGGCTCCGTGTCAGTTCGGAACAGCAGCACTTCAGTGTGAATGGGGAGAACGGGGACTTGTCTGTGAATGGCCGCATAGACCGGGAGGAGATCTGCGGGGAGACTCCGCTTTGTGTGCTGACTCTGGAAACGGTGGTGGAAAACCCTCTGAACGTTTTCCACGTGACTGTAGCGATCCAGGACATTAATGATAACGCCCCGCGGTTCAAGACAGACAACATCGATCTGGAAATTATTGAATCCGCACTGCCGGGCGCGCGCTTTCCACTAGAATCTGCGCACGACCCAGATACGGGGGTGAACTCGGTGCAAATGTACCGGCTCAGCGGGGACCCGCATTTCTCCCTGTCTGTGAAGGAGAGCCCGGATGGAAACAAATACCCAGAGTTAGTGCTGGAAAAGGCTTTGGATCGGGAAACGCAGCAGTCCCATCGGTTGGTCCTGACGGCCGTGGATGGGGGGGAGCCGGTCAGAACCGGGACGGCTCAGATTAGGGTCAATGTCACTGACGCCAATGACAATGCCCCCGAATTTTCCGAGGAGATTTACAGAGTCAGCGTGAGGGAGAACGTGCCGAAGGGCTCCCTGGTGCTTGAGGTGAAAGCCACGGACAAGGATGAAGGGCTAAATGCGCAAATCACGTACTCCTTCGGCAAACTTCCAGATAATGCTCGTGCGGCGTTTTCTATAGATCCCAAGGAAGGAAGAATTACAGCTACACGGATTTTAGATTTTGAAGACGCACGTACATACCTGCTGGGCATAGAAGCCAGGGATGGGGGTGGCCAGTCAGCTCACTCCAAAGCTCAAATAGAAATTCTTGACGAGAACGACAATGCTCCGGAAGTGACATTTACATCCCAGTTCAGCTTGGTAGCTGAAGACTCGGTGCCCGGGACAGTGATCGCGCTGATCAAAGTCCGGGACCCAGATAGTGGGAAAAACGGAGAAGTGACGTGTCACCTGCAACACAATTTACCTTTTACAATAATATCGTCTTCCAGTAGCTACTACAAGCTGGTGACGGACAGTCCCCTGGACAGGGAGCGGGCCCCGGAGTACAACATCACAATCACGGCCACAGACAAGGGCTCCCCCCCGCTCTCCACCCAGAAAACCATCCTCTTGCAGATCTCGGATGTCAATGACAACGCCCCTGTCTTCGAGAAACCTTCCTACAGCGCCTACGTGCCCGAGAACAACCCCTCGGGGGCCTCCATTTTGAGCGTCAAAGCCTCAGACCGGGATCTGGACGGCAACGCCCGGGTCACTTACTCCATCCTGCGCAGCAGCATCCAGGAGCTCCCTGTCTCCTCCTACGTGTCCATCAACTCCCAGACTGGAGCGCTGTACGCGCAGCGCTCCTTCGACTACGAGCAGTTCCGGGCGTTCGAGCTGCAAGTGAAGGCCCAAGACGGCGGGTCGCCGCCTCTCAGCAGCAACGTCACCGTCAGCGTGTTTATCCTGGATCGGAACGACAACGCCCCTCGCATCCTGTATCCCTCGCTCGGGCCCGAGGGCTCGGCCGTGTTCGAGATGGTCCCTCGCTCTGCCGAGGCGGGTTATCTGGTGACGAAGGTGGTGGCGGTGGATGCGGACTCGGGACACAACGCCTGGCTCTCCTACCATGTGCTGCAGGCCACGCAGCCGGCGCTCTTCCGGCTGGGGCTGCACAGCGGGGAGATCCGGACCGCGCGCGCCTTTGCGGACAGAGATGCGGTGAAGCACCGGCTGGTCGCCCTGGTGAAGGACAACGGGCAGCCGCCTCTCTCCGCCACCGTGACTCTGAGCCTGGTGTTCGCCGAGAACTTCCAAGAGGCTCTTCCGGAAATGAGCGACCGGTCGGCTGAGTCGGCGCCGCAGTCTGATTTGCAGTTCTACTTGGTGTTGGCCTTGGCCTTGGTCTCGTTTCTCTTCCTCCTGACGGTGACACTGGCCATTGCGATGAGATTGCGGCGGTCAGGAAATCCCCAGTTACTTCAGTGTTTTGGTCCTGAGCCTTATTCCAAGACGGGCTCCATGTTCCCACCAAACTATGAAGATGGGACTTTGCCTTATTCCTACCAGCTGTGTTTGTCCTCGGACTTAAAGGGGAATAACTGCACCTTCCTGAGACCCAGTGCCCAGGGAGCGGAGCATGTTCTGCGCAGTGAGAGCTCTGGGATGTCACTAGTGAGCAATGGATGTAGCAGTTCCCGTGGGGAGACGGAGGTAACTGGGCTGGTGAGTTGCGGTTTTCCTTTTTCGGTATTTTTGCATCGTAGATTGGCATTCTGAAGTATTGCATTGATTATTTTAGATGTTTCTCTTGACTGTATTTCTATGGTGCTTGAAGTATCACATATGCCAAAAAAAACCCTTAAAAACAACAAATAGTCTAGTAGCACTTTAAAGACAAACAATGCATGTAGATGGTATTATGAGCTTTGATGGACAAAACCCACTTCTTCGGATGACCAGAGTATAATGAGTCCAGAACCAAGGATAAATAAGTGAAGGAGGGACGGGGGAGGGGAGAAAAAGAGAGACCGTGAGTAAATAAAACAGCTTAGCAGCACTCTAACATGTAGATGTTGGGTAGATAGTTCATGTAGTTACAGGAGTCTGTTAAGAACCATTATCACCTCCATTGTTTTGTGGGTATTTTAAGTTATTAAAAGTTTGAAGATAGTGTGTAAGCCAGCCTATTTCCTTGTTTAGACAGTTAATTGGCATAAGAATTAAACTTGTGAATGAAGTTAAGTTCCAATCCTTCTCTGTGTATTTGGCTTGTGGAATTGGTCTGAAACAAAACAGTGACTTGAACATCCATTAATGAGTGTCCAGGAAGATTAAAGTGTTCTCCAACAGGCTTTTGTATGTTGCCTTTTTTGGATACTTGATTTGTGTCCATTTATTCTTTCCCATAGAGATTGTCCAGTATGGCCAATATACATTGAGGTTGGGATTTCCTGCATTTGATTGCATTAGTGGATATGCAGTGAAATGAGACTTTGATATGGTGGCTGATGTCATTGGGTCCAGTGATGAAATCATTAGTATAGATGTATGTGCAGAGTTGGCAATGGGGCTGATTGCACGGATGGGTTCCTGCATGCTTATGATGGAGGTGTGTTGAGTGGTTACTGGAAAGAATTTGTTTGAGGCTAGATAGTTGTCTGTAAGCGAGAAAAGGCCTTTCCTGCCAAGGCCTCTGAGAGTGAAGGTTCATGGTCCAGGATAGGTCGTAGATTGTTGATAATGGCGTTGGAGGGGTTCAAGTTGTGGACTGTAGGTG